AACCAGCCCAGCCTAGAAACACAGCCCACATCCCTTAATATTTCCCCATCAAAAACCACAAACTAATGTCACCCAACACCCCCACAAAATCCCTGATTCATCCCCCATGAAAGGACTCCATATTTGATTATTATTGTCAAAGATTTGTTAAGGAAAGAACTTGGTAGTTTCCCCTTTCTTGCTTGCTTATTTATATCGGCCATTGGCCATTGTTGTAACTCACTTTTGAATCTGAAATTTCCATCAGTAATACACTTATGTGTTTGCTATTTTAAACCCCTAATTCTATATCTTAAGGGTGGTTACCTTAAGTGTGAGTTTTAGGTTCTAGTTATTTAAATAAGTGTGTTATATCTTATTTGAATACTAGATTCAACCCCAAGTTAGGAGAAGAGTGTGTAATATCTCTTAACACCAACTTGGTTTATCCAACACTTATTTCTAGCGATTTCTAATCCCACCATTTCTCTCCTGATCCTCCTTTCTTTTCTCATATTAAAAACCATTAAAAAGAACTCTTTCACACTCCATTCATTTCGCCTCTTGCTTGCCTTCAACATATTATCACATTTCCTCTCCAAAAAAACCACAACTCTGTTAAGACCCCTAGTTCGAGATATATCATGATTGCCACTCCCTGCTGGTAGTAGAGTATCCAGGTGTCCTATTGGTGCTTTTACAAATAAATCTTCATACTACAGGTTAGGATTGGTCATGTGCTGGAGAATGGTGATGTCACAACACAGAGATGCTAGGAGAGCATATACTTTGAGTACACAGTCTTGCTGTAGAACCTGGCAGCCCACATATATTATACAGTTGTGGTGAAGATGGCTCTGTTCAACATGTACGTCACTTCTTTGTTGTTTCTTACTCTTGAAATTTTTCAGGCTTCAATATATTGTTGAGTATTCGACGTGGGCTGTCTAATGGATTTAAGTCTAGCATATAAGTGTGAGATAAAACTCATTTTTTGAGGATTCTATTGGGTTGAGTTAGACTTAACATGGTATCCTAGCTTGTTGTGATACTCTTCTTGGGAATTTGTCCACTTGATGGTGTTGGGATTTGGGCAGGCTATTTGGGGTCTGTTTGAGCCCATCTGTTGACCCCTTCAGTCATCCAGTTTGGCTTAATTAAGGGGTTTGTTGTCCAGCCCTTCAGTTGTCTGGCTCGACACACTTGATGGTTTGGGGCCGATTTAGGCCAGTGTATCAACATTTTCAGTTGACCAACTTGGATTAAAGCTAAAAGCGTGTGTTGAGTATCCAACACTGGTTGTCCATTGAGTGTGTGTTTAGTATATAAGCAAGTAGCAATCTCACCCACACCTTTTGGGTCAAGTTAGACCCAATTCGACAATAATCGAGTCCTTACTTTTGTAATGTGCAGTACGATCTACGAAGCAGTTCTGTCAAAAAGCTACTGTGTTGCTCATCGTTTGTGAGGAACAACACACATTCCCCAAGGGACATACGGTTGAATGCTATTGTTATTGACCCGCGTAACCCCAATTATTTTAATGTGGGAGGTGCGGATGAATTTGCACGTGTATACGACATCCGAAAAAACCCATCGGATCCTAAGACCAACTCACCTGTAGATGCGTTTTGCCCTCATCATCTTATTGACACAAAGGATATTACCATCACGTCATTGGCTTACTCCAACACAAGTGAATTGCTCGCCTCCTACAACGATGAATTGATCTATCTGTTCCAGAAGAACATGGGGTTGGGTCCCAACCCTTTGTTGTTATCGCAAGAAGATGTAGGTAAGCTGGAAGAGCCTCGGGCTTACCGGGGGCATAGGAATTTCCAAACTGTCAAAGGAGTGAGTTTCTTTGGCCCAAATGATGAATATGTTACGAGTGGATCTGACTGTGGTCACATATTCATGTGGAAGAAGAAGAGCGCTGGGCTTGTCCGTGTGATGAAGGGCGATAATGATATAGTTAATCAGCTTGAGTCCCATCCCCATATTCCTCTACTTGCCACCTCTGGCTTTGAAAACACTATTAAGCTCTGGGCTCCCTCATCCAAGGACATCACTCCTTTGCCTCCTGATTTTGATGAGGTATAAATATTAGCACTATTTTCTTCATAACACTTGGTGATAATTGCACTAATAGAGATTCCCATTGTTTGGCATTATGTTTTCTCGAACACGTCTTTTTAATTTTTTTTTGTAAATGTGATCTTTCAATTGTGATAATTTAGGGAAAATTGAGCCACCCCGTTAAAATTACTGTTTGCATCATCGAGTAGTAGTGGAGTTATGTGGCTTTCTCTGTATGTTATATTGTTGAGAATGCCCCCATAAACCTTATTACTCCGTACTAAACAGTCGTTTTATCAAGAGGGACTAGTAGCTCATAACAATTGGTAGATTAAATTTACAAAAAAATCAAAAATAATCCAAAGATTACATAGAGGGCATGTTTGGTAACATCCATTTCACTATTTCAGCATAAATTGGTGCTTTGAGGTTGATAAAAGCAGTTTCCCAAATAAGCACTTTTGTATTTTTTAAAAAACACTTTGTTCTTAGAGCTTGATTTCTGATAAAGAACACAACAGTGTTTTCTGATAAAAGTGAAATGATTTTTATATCAATAAAAGTGGAAAACTACTGCTTTAATTTGGAATATTCCAAAAGTCATCCTGAACAACCCCAAATCAAGAGCTACATTTTCTGCTTGTATCTTCATAAACAGAAAAGTGAGATGAGGCCACCAATCGCCGCAATAGTGCCACATAAATGTGGAACCAAAAGTGCAGTTTTCAGAATGCCACGTCAGCGTCTCCTTGATCGTCATTTTTTTCTTTTTGGCATATGAATTATGTATAGTCTGTTTGTTTTATTATCAGATATTGGACAACAATCAGCGAGGCAGAGAGGCCCATTCACAGGCCAGACTGATGCAAGTGACCCCTGATATGGATCTGATAAGGCACCTTTTGCGTTTGCATAGGAGGCAAGGGTGGGAAGCCTTTGGTTCTAGAGAGGGGCGGTATGATGGGGACACTGATGCGAGCGACGACGACGAAGAAGTTGGAGGAGGGGCCCCACCAGGGGATGCAGATGAAGAAGGTAATTCTAGAGAGTGTTATCTTAGCATTGCATGGTATTGTAAAAACTTGTATATTGCTCCCTTTAATGTTGAATAAGGTTTCACGCTTGACTTGACACGAGGTTATTCCAAATGGTAAATATGTTTGGCTATAAGCCCTAGGCTGGTGAGATACTGTAAAACCCAGACAATCTTCTTACAGTTACTGCAAAACCGAGTCAACTCTTGTTGACGCATAGCCAACTACATTTGTCTCTAGATTAGAATCTCACCAGCGGATCTTTCTCTCCACCAAGACGAAGGTACATCCGGTTGTACCATATAATTTGTAGGGTTGTTGCTCCAACCCGGGTAAGCATTCGATCGAAAGCGGAGTCTCAAAGGCCTAAGACAATACACTTGACCTAACCAGAGGACTACACTAAAAAAGGAGGTTCTTGACAAATAAGAGAAATATAATGAGATTGACCTAGACCGGAGATATTTAGATCACATTAAAGAAGATATATCGAACCAAATTAATCATGAGATCGGGCCTTAATTGATTTAGACCACATCAGACGAAAAAAAATAAACTCTTAGTCTATCTAGTAGAATATATTTTTATCGCGTTAATGAAACACTAAGTTAACGTATTAATTGATTCAACAACCTAGACATCTCGTGTTTCAATTAATATCGCAAATTTGTGTTTCAGTAACATTATCAAGATAAATTTCGTTAGTGGTAATAACTTGATTCACATTGTCTAGTTATATAACTAATTTAAGTCAATTTAATACTCGGTATACAGAAATAAAATTAAGTTGCAAGTCTACTTAGAGGACCAAAACGAATATACTCTAAAAAAAACTGTTTAGATAGTTATTTTAGTATATTTTTAATGTCTTACTTCTACTTTAGTTTTTTTTTCTTTTTAAAAAAGAAATCATTCTTAACATGAGTAAAATATAGAAAAAGTATCAAAATGGGAGTTTCATGTTTTTATTCTCTAAATAGACTTTACACTGTGGTAGTGTGACACTGTAGATGTGCATTTTACTATACTTTTTGGCAATGTACATGTCATGATTAATAATGATGGGTATATTACATACCCAGGTATACTCGTCGATATCGAAGTGACGTGTCAACCATGAGGTCGGGTGACCAGTGGTGGTTCGGATCCTCCGGATTCGACTAGGCGGCTATTCGGAGCATGGCGCTGGGTGACCAATCACCCCCGATTAAAGGTGACCGGTCACGGATCTTCTTTTCGGACTCAACTAGGCGGCTACTTTGGAGAATGGTGGTAGGTGACCGGTCATCCCCCCGGATTTAGGTGACCGGTCACGGTTGTACATTCATTCTCAGCGAGATGGCATTTCGAGTACGGCGGTGCGTGACCGGTCACCCCCGGAAGATAGGTGACCGGTCACGGTCTTGGTCTTCGGGGATGGTCGGTGCAGACATTTGGGCGCGACATTTAGGTGACCGGTCACCCCCGGAAAAAGGTGACCGGTCACGATCTACTTTTCCAGACTTGGCAAATCGAGTATTTAAGGCACGACGTTAGGCGACCGGTCACCCCCGGAAAAAGGTGACCGGTCACGGTCTTGGTCTTCGAGGATGTTCGTTAGAGACACTTTTGGGCGCGACATTTGGTGACCGGTCACCCCCGGAAGATAGGTGACCGGTCACACTTTTGATTCTCGAAGATAAACCTTGGAAGCTATTTTAGAAGAGTCGTGGATGACCGGTCACCCCCTGGATTGGGAGACCGGTCACTATCCTGAGCTCTTGAGGAAAATGAAGCATTGGGCTCCGTACAACTTGACCGGTCTCACTTTTGAGCTTTGATCTATGGATCACGCCCGGACGTATCCGCCTCCCCCAAACCCTAGTATCTAGGAGACCAATGGAGGGACACACACCCGTCACTCAAGAAATCAGTGTGGTAAAGTCCTTTGGCACCATCCTAGATTTGTATTCAATCAACATATTCTGATTGCACAGTGATAGATGCTGTCTGGTTATTTGTCCTTAAGTGGGCAGCTTCCATGCACCTACTAAGCCTCCTCTACTCTATAAATAATCTGTGATAGAGAGAGGAGAGGGCATTCACTACTACTTCCATAAAATCATGTACACTCTAGAAGGAGTAAGAAATATATTCGGACTCGGGAGATTTGCCCCGGTCCAGGTAATTCTGTGTTGTGTTCTTTACTATTAAGCTTATCTTTATTTACCCGGTTAGGCTTCCCTAACCCGACCCAGTTACCTACTTCTCATATCCGGTGGAATTTACACCATCATTTGGCGCCCACCGTGGGGCCCGGTTTTTTGATAAAAATCTTGCCCAGCAAAGTTTCTTATACCCACGAAATACCCACAAAAATGTCTTATAGTAGCCATCTTGTTATTTCTGAGCTCCAACTATCTACCGTCCCGGCGGTAACGACTAGCATGGGGACAGCTTTTGCCCCGCTGACTTCCGTAGAATCATTGGGGATGATTCCGATCATGTCCGTCCCTAGCCCAATACCTACGACGACTCCGTTATTTTCGAGTTCATTGCCCCTATCCATGTGTCCTGTTCCGGGATCAAATATGTCGGGGGTAATGGCTCCGCCAATGATGTATCCTCCGCATCTTGCTCAGTTTGCCGCTGACCCCGCAAACGCTCAAGCGATGCAAGGCTATAACCATGTTATGGCCATGATGCAACAGTCGGGAGGGTATATGCCATATGGTTATCCTGGTATGTACCCAATGCAGACACCGGGATTAATTCCCTTGCAAATTCACGGGACTACCCCAACGCCGTTCGTCCCCCGGACAATCCATTCTGTCCAGCCAGTGAACTTGGTTTCGGCAATGAACCAAGCTGGACCCTCACGCCCCGCCGGTACACCAAATGGCCATGTTGTTTCAGTCACCAATGAGGAGGAATGGGACGAACCCTGTACTGACAAGGGCAAGGGCGTTGCCAAGCCTACCAAAACCCGAAACCCGGCGTTCAAACGTCTTGGTTCAAAAAATGAAGGCCCCCGGAAATCTGCAAAACTTAGGCTCGGACCTGATACGGTTCGTCCTAGTGCATTCGAACGTCATGGTGGGGTGAGAGGCGAGCAACCTACTCAATCTAGACGGCCAAAGGGAACCCAGGGCCGTCACCTGGAAGAAGGGGAAGCTGAGAGCTAGCCTAGAGCCTCCGCCTATACGAGATTGTCTTATGGAAGCACCGATAAAGATTTTGATGAAATCGGGTTCATGGCAAGGAAGTTACAAGCCCTAGAGGACAAAGTTGAGAGGAGTGGACGAAAGAAGCATACCTTGGCAAAGTCACCCTTTACTGCCTCGGTACACATGCACAAGATGACCCGGAAGATAAAGCTAGACGTTGAAAAGTTCACCGGTAAGGAGGATCCAGACATCCATCTAGACACTTTTCACAACGCCGCTCAGATGGCGGGTTGCACGGATGCTGAGGAGTGTTTGCTATTCTTCTCCTCTTTGAGGGGAAGGCCTGTGGAATGGTTCAATAACCTTCCCCAGGGCAAGATCGGGTCATTTGAAAAGTTGGCTGAAATATTCCGAAGGAAGTATTAGGAAAATTGCATCAAGAGGAAGAAATTTACCTACCTTAACACGGTAGGACAGAGGGAGAAGGAGACCTTGATCCAATTCCTCACCCAGTGGAGGGAGGAGATGGACAAAGTGGAGGAGGTCGATGACAAGACTGTCATGTCACTCCTTATGAACGCATTCCGCTCTGGTGAACTCTATACAGAATTCTGTAGGAGACCTCCCGCTTCCTACCAAGAAGCATACAACACCGCGTGGGAGTATGGAGAAGCAGAGAACCTAAACCAGAGCAAGAGAGAGCTGGAGGAAGGATATAAGACCAAATCATCCCAGGCCAAAAAGGAAGATCAATCAGGGGGCTCGAAGTCAAAGACTCATCACGAAGGCATTGTGCATGAGATCCGAGACGATAAAAAAGGGGGCAAGCCCAAAAAGCCTTGGACCGAGAAGTGGTGCACCTACCACCAGTCAGATTCGCACAATACCACGGAATGCCGGAGTATGAAAGTTTTACTCCGGGAGATGGTAAACAAAGGTGAGTTCAGCGGTGAGTACGCGGAAGAGGCGAGAAAGGCAAATAGGTGGAACCGCCCGGGAGAAGGAGAAAAGGATAAGGCGAAGAAACCCGCTACAAGGAAAGAGTACATAACCATGATTGTGGGAGGGCCTGAAGGAGGAGACACGGCGTCTCAAAGGAAGAATTGGGCCAGGAGCTTGAACGTGGCCACAGTATCAGCAGAACCGCGTACAAAAATACAAAGAGAGAGCCCATCACTTTTAGTGACAGGGATTTGCCCCGTACCGGGGAAGATCATAATGACCCATTGGTCATTACAATGGATATAAATGGTGCGGACGTGGCTATTAGTTGACACAAGGAGCAGTGTTAATGTTTTATACTTGGAGACGTTCAAGAAGCTAAAGTTGGATAGGTCACAACTGGAGCCCCTGCAGACTCCTTTGTCAGGCTTCACTGGAGCAACGATTGAGGCTGAAGGAACTATTACATTACCTGTAGAACTGGGGACAGGTAGCAAGGTGATGCACAAGCGAATGAAGTTCGTGGTGGTTGATATCCATTGTGTGCACAATGCGATCCTGGGGCGACCCGGGATCAACCAAGTAAGGGCAATTATTTCTATGACTCACCTGTGCATGAAGTTTTACACCCCCCATGGCATTGGGGAAGAAAGAGGTGACCAGAGGAATGCTAGGTCATGTTACCTGGAAGCTGTAAAGAAGATGACCCGCCTCTTTGAGTGGATCGAGGTCATCTCCCAGCAAGTGGAGAAGGGAGAAGAAAAGCAAAGGCTGGAGCCCGACTCTAGCACGGAGGAGGTTCAGATTGACTCAGCCATACCAGAAAGGATGGTCAAGATTGGTACCGGGTTACCGGTTGAACAGAAGGATGCAATCATTCAGGTCCTCACCAGGTACAACTCTTTATTTGCTTGGAGTGTGGCGGACATGCCGGGGATAGATCGATCGGTGATATGCCATCGTCTATCAGTAATGGAAGGGTCTCACCCTGTGAGACAAAAGAAAAGATATTTGGCCAGCGAGCGTAGGGAGTTTGTGAAAAAAGAAGTCAAAGACTTGCTTGGGGTGGGTCATATTAGGGAGGTTCATTACCCTGAATGGCTAGCCAATGTTGTCCTGGCCCCCAAAGGAGACACATGGCGGATGTGTGTTGACTACACGGACCTTAACAGGGCGTGTCCCATGGACTCTTATCCCCTTCCCAGTCCTGATCAAATGGTAGACGAGACAGCAGGTTGTGAACTGCTCAGCTTTATGGATGCCTTTAAAGGGTATCATCAAATTTATATGGCTGAGGATGATGAGGAGAAAACGTCCTTCCTTACCCCCGACGGGACGTATTGTTATAGGGTAATGGCCTTTGGGTTGAAAAACTCCGGGGCCACTTATCAGAGGATGGTGAACAAGCTGTTCAGGCCATTGCTGGGAAAGACAATGGAGGCATATGTTGATGATATGCTGGTGAAAAGCAAGGTGTCCAGCACGCATGCGGAGGACCTGGGACGATGCTTCGACATCATGGCCATGTATAACCTCCGACTTAATCCCAAGAAGTGTGTCTTCGCAGTAAGGACTGGGAAGTTCCTCGGTTTCATGGTAACCAAAAGGGGGATAGAACCAAATCCTGAAAAAATCAAGGCAATTATGGAAATGCAACCCCCGACTTCGGCCAAAGATGTCCAAAAATTGACGGGACGATTGGCAGCGCTCAATCGATTTTTGTCAAGGTCAGCAGAAAAGGCCTTGCCTTTTTTCAGGGTTTTGAAGAAGGCAAATGCTTTTGAATGGAGTCCCGAGTGCACCCAGGCATTCGAAGATCTGAAAACTTACCTGGCTTCAGATATTGTTTTAGCAAAGCCGGAAGCTAGGGAGACGCTCTACTTGTACCTAGGGGTAACTCAGCAGGCTGTCAGCTCTGTGCTAATGCGAGACGATGGGATTCAGAGGCCCATCTATTATGTAAGCAAGGCCTTGAATGGTGCTGAGAGCCGGTATACCTCCATGGAGAAGGCCGGATATGCATTATTCATCACGACGAAGAAGCTTGCCTCTTACTTCCAGGCTCACCCAATTGTGGTCTTGACGGACCAACCCCTTGATATGGTCATGAGAAATTCCACATCCTCGGGGAGGATGATAAAATGGGCAATGATGTTGACCCAGTTCAACATTGAATATCGTCCCCGAACGGCCATAAAAGGCCAAGCTGTTGCCGATTTCTTGGTCGAGATGACGGGTTAGAAGAAAGAAGAGCATGAGAAGGTAATTACTGAATCTTGGTGGACTATGTCGGTAGACGGGGCATCCGGACCAAAAGGTTATGGGGGAGGAGTGGTCTTCACCACTCCAGAAGGGTTCAAGGTTTACCACGCCTTGATTTTTAAGTTCAAGCTAACCAACAATGAAGCGGAATACGAGGCCCTGATAGGTGGTCTGAGGTTGGCTAAATCCCTGCATGTTTCACGCCTGGTCATCAAATCGGATTCGAGTCTGATGGTAGGGCACGTCAATGGGAATATGGAAGCAAAGGGAGAGAAGATGCAATAATATCGAGACCTGGTGATGGCCTTGCTACGAGACATGGAAGAGTATAAGTTGGAGCAGATTCCTAGGGGGGGAAACACGGACGCGGACTTGTTATCAAAGTTGACCCAAGCAGCCCCGGAACATGTCTCGAAGTTGGCCAAAATCGAGATGGTGGAGAGGCCGAGTATTGAGCGGCAGCCAGTCGGCCTGTTCATGGAACTTGACCGAGTGGGTCTCGGCCTGGTCGAAGTAGATGATTTCTGGATGACAGATTTGGTCAAATATCTGATGACCGGGCAACTTCGTGAGGAAGATGACCGGTCACGAAAAGTGAAGTTGAGGGCACCTCGTTTTCAACTACTTGAGGGAAAACTATACAAACGGGCGTTCGGTGGACCGTTGTTGAGATGTCTGACAAGATCTGAAGCGGAAAGAGTGGTTGCCGAGGTGCATGAGGGTGTCTGTGCAGCCCACCAGATGTCAAGGACCCTGGCGCAGAGAATCATCTTGCTAGGCTACTATTGGCCGACAATGAACATGGATTGTGAGCGGTATGTACAGAAATGTCCATCTTGCCAGATTTTTTACAAATTCCCAGGGCGCCCCGCAACTTACTATCATCCGGTGTCCAATATTGTCCCGTTCGCAAGATTTGGACTTGATATCGTGGGAGCTTTCCCCGCGGCTCAAGCAAGTAAGAAGTATGTTGTTGTGGCCATTGACTATTTCACGAAATGGGTAGAAGCTGAAGCTTATGCGACTATCACTACAAAGCAATGTCAAAAATTTGTGTGGCAGCACATCATAACCCGGTTTGGAGCCCCACGAAGCATTGTCACTGATAATGGACCACAGTTCCGGAATCCACACTTCACCAAATACTTAGAAGATTTTGGAATCACTCACAATAAGGCATCAGTGGCCTACCCCCAGGTAAATGGTCAGGTAGAGAATGCAAATCGAACCATAATGGATGGTATCAAAAAGCGACTAGGGGAGGCCAAGAAGAACTGGCTGGAGGAACTACCACATATCATATGGGCCTATCGGGTGACATCAAGGAGAGCTACTGGAGAAACACCTTTTGCCCTCACTTATGGTTGTGAGGCAAGATTGCCAATTGAGGCAAAGATCCCAACGTTCCGTGAGGTAGAATACAACGAGGAAGAAAACAACGAGAGTCACATGGCTGAACTAAACATGGTCGAGGAGAGGAGGGCCATGGCTGAAATGAAAATGATGGAATACCAGCAGACGGTGAAGGCTTACCATGACAATAAGGTAGGACCCCGTTACTTCCAAGTAGGCGATGAGGTCTTGAGACGCAGAGAAGCAAGCAAGCCTGGGGACGGAGGAAAACTGGCAAAAAAATGGGAGGGTCCATACAAGGTGACTGCAATCATCCGCCCAGGGACCTACAAGCTGGAAACCTTGGAGGGGAAAGAAGTTGAGAGGTGCTGGAATTCGCACCATCTAAAGAAGTTTTATCGTTGAATAGTTGAAAAGGTTGTGCTTGGTGTGTGTAATTGAAATCTTCTCAACGAATGAATGGAAACTATTTTCAGTTAAATTTCTGTGAGTGGAGTTAACTAATGATTTTGGCCGACCGGTCTTGATGTTTGAGACCGGATCGAAGTATGAAAAAAAAACCCTTGAGATGGGGGCCTCGATGTTTGAGGTATTGCCTTGAGATTGGCTGGACCTGGAAGAGGGTTCGCATCCATACTAAACATGGATCCTGACTAGTTTTTTACTGGGAAGGGAGGAAAAGATGCCAAAAAATGATACCGTCTCATGAGACCATCGCTTGTGGATTGGAAATTCTATTTGTGAAAAAGATGGGATCTTCCAAACACATAATACATGGCCGTGTAGATTGGAAGCGTGCCGGTTCTCACTGGCATACCCCCCATGGGAAGATTAGATGGGCTTGGTCGATCTAATAAAGTAAATAGGGCACAATAAAAATCTCAAACCTGGAAGAGGGGCCCTGGAGCAAGGGTGAAGCCTGGAAGAGGGTTGGACCTTGGAGAGGGTTCGCGGTCATAGTACATGATCTTGGTTCTCCAATGTTAGCTAGATCTTGATGTGGACACTTAGATAAACATTACCCAGGTAAAACTGGATGCCCGACAACAAGAGAAATATCGGATGCCCAATTAAGTCAGACCATCGCGCATATGTGGACCATGCAGGTGACTAAATCGAGAAGTAGCAAGATGGTTGGTGACAAAAAAGAAGAAGAAGAAGCCCGGTCTTGACCGGAAGTGATCTGAGGAAGGATACTAAACGATTTTGTTAGCGGACCGGTCACAGAATACCAAGGGGAGAACGCGGGAACAAGCCCATGTTACTGGTCACTATTTTTAAAGAATTTGACCGGTTACATTTTGATAGTTCCCGAAAACAAAGTTTGGGAGTATTGGCTCGTGACCGGTCAACATTCCGCTAAGGTGACCGGTCACCATTTTGGTAATATGACCGGTCACGATTTAAAGTTTCGGAATGGAGCAGTTTGGCAAGTTTTGGCCCGTGACCGGTCACCATTTCGGTAAGGTGACCGGTCACCATTTTGGTGATGCCATCGGCCATGTTTAAATTTTTTTTTTGGCGGACCACACCCCGGGGGGGTAATCGGTTTAGAATTCTGGCGTGAAGGTTTTAATTTCAATTATCAATCTCCCTACGACAGCGTAAACATATTAAATCAAGTAAGCAATCGGAGTCAACAGGGATTAAAATCCGACATCAATGCCAATAGTACAATGGAAGAAATTCAAAGGTACCAATCTAGCCTAACCCTACTCAAGGGGGAATGGTGGCACTTGTTCATCTTTGTGGAGTGGGGGAAGCTTCCATGCCGCGGGCTCGAGTTTAGGATCCCTCTTCTGCATAAGCCGGTACATGCCAGTCCTCTCCGTCTTCTGCCCCATCATGAAGCCATAGGATCCAATCTCAGTGGTCATCTTTTTACCCTCAGGCTCCTTGAACAGAACCTCAAAGAAGTCCTTGGTTCCTTCAAGTGTAGCGGTCACGGCCTGGGCAACCTCAGCGTAGTGCTGGCCTGCCCATTCCTCGGCCCTAGCAGGAAACATCTCGTCTTTGGCACGGGAATCAGCTTCAAGGGTCCTCACTTGTTCTTCCCTCTTGACCAGCGCATCATTCAGTCGCTCATTCTCCTCCTTAAGCCGGTTGATCTCCTCATCCTTCTCCCTAACCGAGAACTTCATTCTGTTGTTCTCAAGGGTCACCTGCTCAAGGTAGGTCTTCACCTGATTGGCACTGGTGACATGTGCTTTGATCTCTTCATGGGCAGCATCAAGCATCCTTTGGAGTCGTTGGGATTTATCATCGCCCGTGCCAAGAATTCGTCTGGAGAAAGCCTCAGAGAACTCACCATGCTGCAAGGACAAAGAAACGTTAATAAGAATTGAGAATGTTTGAAATAAAGCAAAGAAAATGATACTTTACCCCGTGCAATTTTTGGGCGATGGCTAGGAGAAGTTGCTTAGCGGACATCTCTGCATATTTGGGATCACTGCATTGGGGATCCCCCTTCCTCTTCTTAGAGTGGTATCTAGAGCTCTTGTGGGAACTCCTCTTCCTCTTCTCCGTTGAAGTCTTTTCGGTGGTGCCCGTAGGAATCTTGCTTTGACCGGCCACTTCAGCCACATCATCCACTTGGCTTGGGCCATGATCTAGGGGTGACTCATGGCCTTGGTTCTTCTCAGATTGGACGTCATGTATTACCTGATCATTGATCCCGGTGGAGTGATTGTGGTCGACCTAGGGAGAAGTAACGTTGCCGTAGCTGGTCTCGAGATCCTCTACTTCATCCTCAGGGTCGGCATAGCTTCTGAAGTTCATATCTATAAAAAAAAAGAGAGGGGGGCACGGTTAAAAAAAAAAAAGAAGTCAGTGTTACAAAAGACGACTAACTTGGATGAAGGGACCCGGCCTCAGCATTACTCTCCGGGGTTGCGACCCGGTCAGCCTCTGCTTCATTGGACCTAGGGGTACCCTCATCCAGGCTAGGGACCCGGTGTGTCCAATTCCCGAAGCTAAAAGCCTTCCCAGTGGTCGGATCTCCCTTCAATAATGCCGCGCAATCTTTCTCAAGACCAGAAGTGGTGGCCGGGTAAACATCTTCAGACTCAGGAAGCCGGTCTCCCCATTGGAGTTCGCCATCAAAGGGGAACTCGCCCTCGGGAAACTCAATAAAGACAAACCGTGTTTTCCATTTTTTATGACCGGGTGGAACATCAGAGATGAAAGCTTTATCTTTTCGAGAATGGAAGTACACAAATCCGGAGCAGTTGGCGTTACCCGGTAGGACTTCGAACATAAAGAGGAAGAGCTCTAGGGAGGGGGTGATTTTCTTGAAGTTGCAAATATTTGTGAAGCAATTTAGTAGTCCATGGGCATTTGGGGTCAACTGACCCGGGAGTATGGAAAATCTTTTGCACATTTGGATGAGAAGGGGACGAAGTGGGAAGAGGATCCCGGTGTCCATGGAGGCTAGATGGAAACCTAACCGTGGTCTTCGATGGGGATCTATAATGTTTTGATGATTGGCATTATAGTGAAGGATGTATCCCGGGGGCATCAGACTCCGCGCCTTATTCAATAAAACTTTGGTGATTTTAGTGGGGATACAAAGAATGGGACGAAAGTCTAGGGCGTGGTAGCCGACCGCGTCCAGCGACGCGGCAAACTCCTCCCAATCGTCGGTCTCGGGTTTAAACCGCCGGGCATCTGGTTTAGAGGCATGGGGTCGGGAACCACCATGGCCGCGGAGGGCTGGCCCGGTCGATTAGGGGGGACCGCACCGCCGATCCAGGGGAAGACGAGGGGATGGTGGAATTGGAAGACCCCGACCCATCATGAGAATCGCTACAAGAAGACATGGGACTATACTACCCGATTAAAAAAAGAAGGCTAGGAGGGCTAAGGTACTTACTTGGCCGAGGGCCGAACTTGAGAGGGGTAACGGAGTGAAAAGTGAGAAAACTTTGGGGGGAAGGATTATATTTATAGAGTGAAAGAGGGGCCGCCCACCTCGACCAATAAGGACGTGACATGTGGCCGAATGGGGTTGGGGGGAGAATTCAAAATTTAAATTTTGAAATTGAATTTCAAAATTGTAGTGTGGTTTTGGGGGGAAACCAAAACAAAGAAGAGGCTAGTGGAGAGCTCAAAATTCGAATTTTGAATTCAAAATTGTGTTCTGGTTTGGGGGGGAAATCCGAACAAGGGGCTAGGGGAGGATCCTAGTATCAAGATTTTAAAAAAAATGATGAGACCATGTTGATTTCGGTGCTAGGCGCTAGGGAGAGGTTCGAGATTGGCCTCCAATACCCAAACGGTGCTTCGCTTTCCGGGGATGGGTCACGCTCAAATACTTCCCAGTTTTGGTGATCTTCACAAAACTGGTAAGTGGAGGGCTTATTGATGGGTATATTACATACCCAGGTATACTCGTCGATACCGAAGTGACGTGTCAACCATGAGGTCGGGTGACCAGTGGTGGTTCGGATCCTCCGGATTCGACTAGGCGGCTATTCGGAGCATGGCGCTGGGTGACCAATCACCCCCGATTAAAGGTGACCGGTCACGGATCTTCTTTTCGGACTCAACTAGGCGGCTACTTTGGAGAATGGTGGTAGGTGACCGGTCATCCCCCCGGATTTAGGTGACCGGTCACGGTTGTACATTCATTCTCAGCGAGATGGCATTTCGAGTACGGCGGTGCGTGACCGGTCACCCCCGGAAGATAGGTGACCGGTCACGGTCTTGGTCTTCGGGGATGGTCGGTGCAGACATTTGGGCGCGACATTTAGGTGACCGGTCACCCCCGGAAAAAGGTGACCGGTCACGATCTACTTTTCCAGACTTGGCAAATCGAGTATTTAAGGCACGACGTTAAGCGACCGGTCACCCCCGGAAAAAGGTGGCCGGTCACGGTCTTGGTCTTCGAGGATGTTCGTTAGAGACACTTTTGGGCGCGACATTTGGTGACCGGTCACCCCCGGAAGATAGGTGACCGGTCACACTTTTGATTCTCGAAGATAAACCTTGGAAGCTATTTTAGAAGAGTCGTGGATGACCGGTCACCCCCCGGATTGGGAGACCGGTCACTATCCTGAGCTCTTGAGGAAAATGAAGCATTGGGCTCCGTACAACTTGACCGGTCTCACTTTTGAGCTTTGATCTATGGATCACGCCCGGACGTATCCGCCTCCCCCAAACCCTAGTATCTAGGAGACCAATGGAGGGACACACACCCGTCACTCAAGAAATTAGTGTGGTAAAGTCCTTTGGCACCATCCTAGATTTGTATTCAATCAACATATTCTGATTGCACAGTGATAGATGTTGTCTGGTTATTTGTCCTTAAGTGGGCAGCTTCCATGCACCTACTAAGCCTCCTCTACTCTATAAATAATCTGTGATAGAGAGAGGAGAGGGCATTCACTACTACTTCCATAAAATCCTGTACACTCTAGGAGTAAGAAATATATTCGGACTCGGGAGATTTGCCCCGGTCCAGGTAATTCTGTGTTGTGTTCTTTACTATTAAGCTTATCTTTATTTACCCGGTTAGGCTTCCCTAACCCGACCCGGTTACCTACTTCTCATATCCGGTGGAATTTACCCCATCAAATAATGTAGATGTATTTTGAATCCTATTTTAGGAATAAAAACATAGAATTTCTATTTTGGTATATTTTCAATGTTTTACTCCTACTTTAGTTTTTTTCTATTCTAAAAACAAGGAGCAAACTAGAGAAGGTCCCAAAATAAATTGCATCATCAAAATACGTGCAAAGTTTCATTTCTTTTAAAGTGATTTTATTTACAACGTGATACATAGTATAAAAATAAAAAACCGAAGCAAGTATTTTAAAAATATTAAAAAAAATACAAAGCAAGAAACGACTTAAAATAATTAAAAAAGGCATTTAAATAAATTAAAATTAAGTAGGTACCATAAATCCATAATACGGAGTAGTAGGTTTAATTTATTCAGATAAGAGCATCTCCATTGGTGATATTTAAAAGACGTTTAAAATAATGGATGGATGAAAAATGGTTGGACGAAAGATGTCATTTAATGGATTCTCAATGCTTGATTAAATGGGGAGAGAGGGTTTAATTGTTAAACATCCATTCCACTGGATGCATTTAAATGTGGGGCTTATTAATTAAATATTTATTATATTTATTATATTTATTTCAAATACTAAATCTGTAATATTTATTTTCAAAATGTTTGATTATTTTATTTAATTAAAACATTTAGTTTTTATTTTTTAAAATTTCAAAATTTTTAAATTTTTTATTTAATTAAAACATTCAATTTTTTATATTTAATTTCAAAATATTTAAATATTTTATTTTAATTAAAATTCTATGGTAATTTTCTTCTCTAGTTTTATTCTTCTAAATATAAATTCCTACAATTTCTAAATGTTTAATTTAATATTTTTCATGTTATTTTTATTTAAAATATATAATAAAATAATATAAACTGGGACACATAAATAATCAATTAAACGGATGAAATGGGTTGTAAGTATTTACTTTAAAAATAACATACTCCCTTCGTCCCTAATTTGATCACAAATTGGAGATTATGAGGAAAATTGTTTCACTTTTTGAAATCATTTTATTTACAAATCGGCATGTCAATAAGAAATAAAAATCATATATAAAAACAAGAGGTGACAAGAATATTTTATTTTATCAAATATTTAATACAATCGCATAGATAAACAAAAGTTATTAAGAAGAGAAAGAGAAAAAATTGTTATCAAAATGGGAATGCATGGAGTATTTCAAAGTAAATTATATGAAGAGAAAATGGATGAAAAAATGATTGAATCCATGAATTGTAGGAGATGCAAGGAGTATTTTTTTAAGAAATATTTGTACTAAATAACACTAAAACTTAAGTAATTTCTCTAAATAGCACTTAAATTATTTTATTTTCTAAATAGCACTTAATAATGTCTATAATATCCTGTGTGGCGAATATTTACTTGAATAATGACTTATATATAATGATTAAAATGCTACGTTTTAAAAATGATGTTTTTTTAACGTGTTAGACGACTTCGGCTTCATCCCGCTCGATAACGGCCATAGCTTTCACAAGCTTCGATTCTGCTCCATCGTCCCTCTGACGATTCAAGCTCTTCCACACCTCAAATTCTCGATCCAGGTACCGCTCCATCTTCACTCTACGCTGCTTCGATTCGACATAACCTTTTCAATTTTTCTCGGAGCGAGGAAAATTTGTTAGCATTTTAGACCATTCGCGAGTTTCTGGATCTATTGTCAAAGTTCTGAATCTGGAAATGTGTATGAAACACCACTGTTTAGATCTTATTTGCTTTGTCATTTTTTTTCAAATTTGAGATTATATGTATGTTTTTTTTTGCTTTGGGTACGGATGTGGAGTGTATATTGTTTGATTTTTGAATTTGTGTGTTTTGTTAAGATATTTAGGATTATCCGTTGCACTATAAATTTAAAATTTGCTACGTTTTAAGTTTCAGTATTATCAATCACCTTTAGAAATCTGCATTGTGAAAAGTGAAGGAATTTCTAGAGGGAAAGACTGAGGTTTGTAATGCCACTGAGCCCTGAGGTTTTGTATACTGTTCAGAGAAAAAAAAGAACTTTAGAGTCTGTTTTCTCCCTCGTCACCTCCATCAATCCATCCTCATCCTCAATCGTTCTCATCCATCGGACTCCACTGCCGTCATAGGAAATTGCCTCAGCCGTCCCCAGGCCAATCGCCACCTCCATCGCCAACCAAAATTGTTGATGCCATCCCCACACAAGGTCACCGTCGTCACTACAGTGAAGATCAGGTTATGGAAATTTGATTGAATTGGTTTGATTTTTTATGTGTTCCTGGCGGATGTGGCTTAGTTTTTATTCTACTGTCCTCGTCCATACACCATTAGGTTTTTTTAAAGAACCTACTATGCTTGGAAGTTGATTAGTTGGGGGTTTGTTTTTTCATACAACTCGATTAATAATACGGTTGAATTGTTTTTGAGCAATAGTTGGGTTGATTTTGTTGGTTTGGTTTTGAATTTTTTATTTTCCGGAAAATGAATCAAACATAAATAGACAGCTTTCATACTTCTAGCCAAACAACATAAAAGGAAAATGACTTCAGGAGAATAAGTCATTTTCCAGAAGTTACTTTCCTGGTTTCCAATCCTTATTTCTAAAACATGTTTTCATTTCACCATATTGCAGAGGGCTTGAAGGCTAGTCTGTTAATGTACACCCTGCAACTCCATATTTTTCTTCTTGTATGGATAAAAGAAACAAAAAGAATGTAAGTACAATCAAACCAGATGCACACATGTTGAGCATGGAACCCCTGCAAATGAAGAAGAAGAGTGATGGTTACAACTTGCGGAAAAGTTTCGCCTGGAATAAATCATTTTTTACCGATGAAGGTTGTTGCATTCTGTATTAAGTCTTTGCGGGATTGCACCCCAAACTCCTAGTATAAGTTATGAAACTTATTTTTTGTTTGTTTGTTGGTTACTTAAGGCGTACTGGATCCAATAGAACTTTCTTTGATCAGTGGAACATGTACTGATACAAGCAGAGGTGGCTTGTGTTCCATTGAAGAAAGGAGAACCCCACAATCTTGCAACTCCTGGAAAAATGTCAGTTCTCCGTCAAAATCTATTAAAAAGAATTTGAGCAAAGAAATCAATGCTACATCTTCAAAAGAAGATACAGCAAAGGTACGTTTTCGGTAATCATCCCTGTTTGTGAATGATGATATGGACTTCTATTATTTGTGCTGAACTAATATTAGAAGTTTTATTCAAATATTTTTCTTGAGATATGTGGTTAATCTTACCTTTTCCTTCCTTCCATGAAATACATATGCTTCCAGTCTTCATGCAAGGCACTTGCAACTCAGAATGATAGAACTAGCTCTACGGGACGTGTTTGTCACAGATCTTTGTTTTCAACACCATATCCTTTAAAATATATACCCCTTCAATATCAGAAAACGGTTCCACATTTCATTTTATGTTTGTTCTGAAAAAGGCTCCACTTTCTTTTCATGGATTGAGTTGTGTGGTATATATTTTTTCTCCCACTCATAAATCTCAACCGCACTAATTTACCTTTCTTAATAGCCTTGCATTGTTGATTGTGAAACCTTATTTTGGGACAGTGTGTGTGAATTGATTAAAAATTGATCTTATTTAAGTTTGAATCTGTTGAGAAACCTTAATGCTTTGTACATTAAAAAGGCCTGCAAATATAAATGCTAGTAAAGCATCAGTCAATGAATCCAAGCTACCAAAGTTTCAAGTTTTAAAGGCAGGTTCATGTCCATCAACAAGCACACCATCTAAATGTACAATCCCTAGAGCACGTTCCATGCAGAACAAAAAGAGTTCTGATCGAGGTATTTGTCTTTTACTTTCTATAAACTAACCCCCCCCCCCCCCCCACCACTATATGCAGATTTTGGCATCTGCTAAATACATTGATAATTACAAAGGCACTTGTTATTTTAGTATTGAAAAACTCTGAGAACTTATTTACTCTTGCATTTACATTTTTCTTGCTGCTATTTTAGTCAGTGTCCTGAGAAAAAATGTGCTAAGGAGATCCATAAGAAATGGACAAAAGAAAGCAAATGATGATTCTAGATTTCCACCAGACTTGCCTAGAGCCTCTTCTCATTTGAAAGGAGATTCTGAAAAAACCAAAGTCAGTCTTTAACTCATCTCCATGAATGCAACACACCCTTGCACTCCATATATATTTTTCCTTACCACCGAATTCCCAATATATCTAAATGAAGCCGAATTTGGACAGGACATATCAACGGCGAACATAATTATATCGAACACTTCGTCCTCATTGCCGGTCATGAAGAATGGTAATACCAGCTCAAAGGTGACGCCGGATCCTGTGGTTTCATATAGTACCGGTGTATGTTCCTCCGAATGTCAGGATGTGTCTGTGCAAGCTACTGTCTCTCATCCACATAACACCTTTAATTCGGTTAGGGACATGCAACACTCACAAATTCAAACAATGAAACCATCAGGCTTGCGAATGCCATCACCATCACTAGGATTTTTTCGTCAGGTACGAGTACTATTATCTTAGTAAGTCAGCTCATTATCAAATATCAACTGGTCAGATGTTATTTACAATACTAATTGCATGGGTGAGTTTTAGGAAAAAAGAAAAAAAAAAGTTTTTTGTTTTTCAAATAAGAAGGTTTCTACTCGCAAAAGAAAAATTCTAAAAGTAATTTCAAGTTTTATGAAAAAATGTTTGAAGCATTATGTTTCCCATTTAGTCTCGCCCTACATGTTGATTTTAGTTCAACTGTTTCCTCTTTAGTGTTTGTCTGTGCCAACCCTGCATTATTATGGAATTCAAACTGCCTGATCTTTTCTTTTTGCATCTAAATGTTATAAGTTCAGTCGGATGCTTCTGAGGCACACCGGCTATCACGGAGAAATGCAGAGTCTAGTGTTGGAAAGCTGCAAGAAATTGGTGACATGAGGTCCCTGAGTGCATTCGCAGTTCAAAGAGTCACCGGCAACACCCCAACGATGTATACCAGGGATAATGTTTGCACCGACATGGAATGCTCTGTAGCAACAAGTTCTCAACAAGCAATCAAGTCATGCTCAGGTTATGATGCTGCACTAAACAAACTGAAGACTGCCTGTGATTCTAAGAATCCCAAGCTTGTAAGTAATAAAAATGGAGATCATAATGTCTGTAGTGTTAATGGAAAAGTAAATGCCACAGAATCATGGATAAATGGTCCGGAACTTGTGGATACTGGAGATTGTGGGCATGTTTCTGAAGAAGATCAAAAGATAATTGGTTCTAAAGGATGTAGAAGCTCTAGTACGTCAGATTTAGAAAATTATCAGTCTGTGTTCCAGAAAAACTGTACAACACAACCCATGGACACATTTAGAGGGGAAACACTGGTGAATAGTTCAGATGTGGTAAATATGCCAAGCAACTCTGTGGTCTCATTTGAAGGTTCCTTTTCTGACTTTGGGTCAGGTAATATTCTTATGTGTGGTGGTGAGAAGACAATTTCAACTAGTCGTAAAAGTGATATGCAAGAAGTTTATTGCTCACCCGAGGAGCAATCTGATAATAACTTGTGTAGTTTTGATTTTTTGAGCCATGAATCTCAAGATTCTGAAGATCCTAATCTTGTAGGTTTATTAAATACTGAAGTAGAACCAGATTACATAGCTTTCACAGTTCAGGACTTGCATATTCTTTCTTCAGAAGAAAATATCATTTTGGAGGGAAATGATAAATCGGATTCAGGAGATTCTGTACTTCACACCTCAAAAGATGTCCTGTCTGCTCAAAGTTGCAACAGTACCCCTCATGTGGTTTTAATGGAGGATTTTCCAGCAAAACAAAGAGAGAAGTGTTCTGAGTCTTCTGACTGCTTTAACAAGGAGAGTCAGACGGTTAAGCTGAATGACAGTAATATTTTTGACGACTATAAAAAATGTGATCTAAATGTTTCTGAGAATGTAGACCCTTGTAATGCCATCTCAGTTGATAAATTTGAACAGTCAGATGTGCCTACATTCAATTTTGCCTTGACCAGACAAGATACACACACTGTATCTGAAGAATCAGAAAGAACCCGAGACTTGGGTAGTGCTCCAGAACCAAGTGACGGGGGTGGAAATGAAGCTGTAAGATCAAGTTATTTCAATGTAGAGCCAGTTATGGGAGGAATTGACGCTAAAACAGATTCATCTGTTGAACCATTGGGTTTTTTAGGAAATCCTTCTATGCCTGAAGATGCCGAGCTTCTGTCAAACAAAGTGTTACTTTGTGATACAGAATTTAATGGAAAATCCGCATCTGTGAATATTGACTCATCTACACAGACAAGCAAAATGTGTATTTCAAAAGCATCTACTACTCACATGGGCCTGGTTGAAAGTATATACGAGTCATCAATGAGCAATCATGGAGTTTGCATGCAAGATCAGAATGTTATGGGAAATGAATCTGAAGCAAGAACCTCTATGACCATCAATAGTCATGCTACTGACTTTTGTGTTGAGTTAGGCAATGCTAAATGTGTCACAAGCAATAAGAATGATGTTGTGTCAGCGTAAGTAGTAACATTTTCATTCTGATTACCTTTCATTTTTAATCCTTTTCTGTAAATGCAGTTTATGCTTTACCTCTGTGCTCTGGATATGTAATGACCATTGGTGATTTTTTTTTGTTTTCTTTTTTGAAGAAAAAGAACTGAGGATGGTAAGAATGAAAGTTACCTCAGCTTAATACCCCCACGAAATGCAGTTCCTTTTTCGGATGAATGGTTTGCTGCTATTGAAGCAGCTGGAGAGGTAAGCTCTGTAAATTGTCTAGAAACAACGTGTTTTGCTGTAGTTTAATGTACATTTACTAGATTCAAATCATAAAAGTAAAATGTAAGCTTTCACACTTGACTGACAAATGTCATGTTTAAGTCAAATTTTTTCTTCCTACGGTTTTTTTACACATTTAGAGTAATTTTTACTTTCAGTCCTACCTTACTGACATTTTTTTTCCTTTTGTCTCCAATTATAGTCCTGCGTATTTTGATTCGTCTGTTAAACCTAAAATATGCTTAAAAGAATAAAATTATAAAAATGTTTTAGATTTTCACAAAAGGCCGGCCATTCTAGACTGAAAATGGAGATATCAAAGTAGCATATTAAAGTACACATGTCACTATAGTTTTGGGACCAAAAGTGTAGTTTATCTCACTATTATAATTTGAATGATATCGAAGTCAAAGATTGAAAGTATACATATCACTGTAATTTAGGGACCAAATGTGTAATTTGTTTCGCTATCAATTTTTTTTTCAGTGCCTCAGGTGACCATCCTTTCAGTGGTAGCCGTTGATGCTTTGTTTCCCTGAAGTTTTTTTTACTCTGAACTTCCATTTTGCAGGATATTTTAACCATGAAAGGAGGTGCTGTACAGAATTCGCCCCCAGATAAATCTCTACCTGAGCCAAGTCCATGGTCACCGGTATGTCACCATTTACTTGATGAGAAGCATGTATGCCTAATGCTTTTTTGTGAATCTTCAAAATAAATACTCTGCACTTCATACACAATAAAATGTACTCAGTGCAAGACTTTTATATGCAATGCTTGCTAATATTTGGCGAATTATAAAATCACAATTACTTTTTTTCCGTAAAGGACTTGTCAATTTTCCTTTTCCGTCTATCCCAAAAAGATATGTCTGCTTCTATGTTTGGAAAGTTTTATGTGGCTCATAGTGTTTCTCTCTCATCTACATAAATTTCAACCACACTGTTGTCACTCCATTAAAGCGGTGCACAGTCAAACAAAGCACACCTTTTTGGGACGGATGGAGTATATATGAAGTTATGAACCCATTATTTTGGTCAAGTGAAATGGCCTCTTCAAATCAACAAAGTAGAGGGCATTTAAGTTCAATAAGTTACATGTTTAAAAAAACATGCATATCATGATATGTTGCACAAATGTATATGTTTTGGCGGATGAACTATAAAGTAATAGAGAAAGCTTTCCTGTATGTTTGGGAGTTCGGTTTTGCTGTTTTTTATGGCATGGAAGGATAGCTATCTTTTATTTTTGTTCACTGCCGGACCATTTTTTGCTACCCTTATGGGTTACAAATCACTCAAATCTTCGATCACCTAATGTTTGTCGTTTATAGAATTAGTGAGGCCATGCGAGTGACACAAGAAAGTCATTTGTTCAAGTAGTCTCACAAACATTTCAAATCACAAAAGCATTGCCATTTTGTGGTTAGGGAAATGCAGTTTCAGAGCACATCTTTTGACATACTCCCATCGTCCCACAAGTGGCATGAGTGGCAAGTTCAAGTGCATTACTTTAAAATCAGCATTCTCCTGCATAAGCTATTTGTTTATTGATTTACAGGTTCAACGTCACAACAATGTTGGACCTCATGATTGTACAAAGATCATGCGCAATATGGCTGGGCCTTCGGATTCCTAACTCCCAAGTAAACTAAGGTTTGAGACTCAGTATTTTGATCAGCCTAACAAGACCAACCCCATAAGAGTAGAACTGTAAAGTGTGCCTACCACATGTATAATCAATATTCTTCTACATCATCATAGGGACCCCCTTATCTGATCTCACATTCCACAGTGACACCCCATGGGATTGAGGTTTACATTTTAGGAGTAAGATACTAAGATGTGATCCAAGTCACACCCCATCATATTTTTACAGTAGCACTTTGTTAAGTCATTTAGGTGCACTAATAAAGCTTTTGAATGCCATTATATGTTTCTTTTGTATGTTCCTCAGCTATTAGGCTCTTTTGACATTGGTTCATTTGAGACCCCTACATTGATTTGTTCGACCCCGAAGCGATTCATACCCTAATTCCTCACCCCTAGTTTGTCCCTTGCACTCTACCCCAGGCTTTTGGTGACAATCTATCGTCAAAACTTTGACAATAGACTCTTACCTAAAGGAGGAGTGGGGTGAGGCCAAGTAAGGCTAGGGTGGGGTGTAGGGGGTGGGCTAGATGGTGGGAGTTTAGGGAGTATGAACTATTATGAGTCAAACAGAGTGCCTTAGGGGACTCAAATGGACCCATTATCAAAATATGACATTGGAATCCAATATCAAAAGAGCCGTAGTGCTTTTGCCAAATTCCATATTTACCTTAGTGCTTGGATTTGGATGTGGCCTAAATTCCTCTTTTAGATGTTTAATTTTTTTTCTTCCCAATTCATTAGAATTCTAGGTGTTGAGGAGAATAATGTTAGTTTTATTTTATCAGCTGATAATTGAAAATACTAATTAAAAAAATTCAAAGAAAAGAATATGATTTTGTATAAAAAGTAAAGAGAAAGATTCAAAACTACTCAAAAGAGAGATGGACAAAGATGTTATTTGTACACAAAAATTTGTACCCCATTTTATATCCCAAAGACATGCACTGGCATTTTGTGCTAGTGTGATGATTTACATTGGCAAACAATTTAGTGTAATTTTTTTAATGGAACTAACACTTTTTGCTCGTGTAAATCATTAAAATGTCGGTGCATTTCTTTGGGATACACTTTTGGTGTACCCCTAGGCCCTAGCATGGTTGTACTAATTACTCCCTCCGTCCTTGAGTGTTTGTCCACTTTCATTTTTGCACATCATCCAATGCACTTCTTTAATCCATTTTATCTTGTAATTTGTATATTAAAAAATTATAAAAATTATATATTAATAATCTATATGTTAAGACGAATCAAACAAGATCACACATGACTATTTTTAGGCTTACACATTGAGAGAATTTGATGAGTCAAAGTGCTTAAATGAACAGTTTCAAAAGTTAAAAGTGGACAAATACTCAGGGACAGACCAAGTATCTTTTAAGTACTCATATGCTCATACATTGTATATGAAATGATTTAGCTTGCAAAGTGATTTGAAGCAATCTCTTGATTGATTTTTTAATTATACAACGCAGATTCGATTGATTATAATTTATATACGAACACAATCTTTTCATGAAATGCTTCATTAAAAATGATGAGATACCCTTCGTCAAATGGTCTAAAACAAAACTTTGAAATTTGATTGTAAAATTATGCTCCGTTTTTTGAGATTGTATACGGATGAGAAAAATAATTTGTGATCACCAGATCAGAAAAGTGGAAGTCCTCGAATGAATTAGTATTACAATTTTTTTGTTAAAAAAATATTCTCTCCGTCTCTGAGTATTTGTCTAGTTTTGGTTTATTCTAATAAATCATGCTCCCTCCATCCCGGAGTATTTATTTAGTTTTAATTTTTTTGGTCAAAATTGGTAAACTTTGAACCTAAATTAAATAAAAATATTATTAGATATTGATAAAAAATAAATTTATTAGATTTATTATATAAAATATTTTAAAAATATTATTTTATCTAATTAAAATACAATATATATTTTATTTAATTAAAGGTCATAAATTTAAAACGATTGATTGAAAAAGTCAAAATCGGACAAATACTTCGGGACAGATGTAGTATATTATTAAATCTAATATTTTGAAAATTCTTTATATATTAAATCTAACATAATATTTTTGTATCAATATCTAATACTCTCTCCATCCCTAATATCTCACATTTATTTTTTCATCAGTCGCGGAAACTTTTGTTTATTTCTACATTTTCATTGATTATTTGATAAAATAAAATATTTTTGACGCCTCTTATTTTGAGAAATTTTTCATGTAGCTTTTTGAGATGTAAATTTTATTTTTATTTCTATTCCACTATGTAAATAAAATGAATTGAAAAACTTGATATTTTACCTCGGTAATAGAAATGTGAGATATATTTAGGGATGGAGGGAGTACCACTTTTATTTAATTTTAGGTTAAAATTTATTACTTTTGACCAAAAAGTTAAAAGTGGAAAAATATATACATATGAAATGGTAAAATTACTTGAGTAAGAATTTTCATTTTGATTATTTCAAGAGGAATTAAAGAACTTAACAAAGATCTCTATAGTATTTGACAATAAAACCCTTTAGTTTTATAGTATTTTTTCTTTCCTTAAAAGATATTTTTATTTGATTTCTTTAAGTTAAATTTTAGATATTTCGATCATAAGTCGAGAAAAAAGAATATTTAAACAAAATATAAATTTAATACGGAGTATTCCTTTACGAAAAAAGGAGTATAATTAAGCTCATTTTAAGATGTTGTTTTGATATGTCGATACTTTATGTTCTTAGAGCCTGTTCTTTAGGACTGGAAAAAAAGAGCTGGAAACTGGAAGAAACTGGAAAAAACTAGAAAAAACTGGAAAAAACTGGAAGAAACTGGAAGGAACTAGAAGAACTGGAAGAAACTGGAAGAAACTAGAAGAGACTGGAAGAACTGGAAAACATTAAAAGAAATTGAAAAAACTAGAATAAATTGTAAAATCTAAAAAAAGTTTTTAAAATTTTTTTATGTGTGGTTTTAAATTGTTCTCATTCTGATTCTTGTTGATATAAATTATTATTATTGCTATAATTATTATTATTATTATTATTATTGCTATTATTATTGTTGTTGTTGTTGTTGTTAGTGGTGGTGGTGGTAGTAGTGCTGGTGTTATTACGTTATCTAAATGATTGTCTTTAAAATAAAAAAAATATTACGAATATTATTTTCATGCATAAAAAGATAGTTTAAAAAAATAATTAGAGATGAACTAGCACTTAATATTCTACAATGTAGTTAAACTTAATTGAAGGTACTATATTTTAGATTAAAATATTGATGTTTACCTTATATAAATTTAGATTAAAAAATATTCTACTCCCTCCGTCCCAAATTATTTGCCACATTTGTATTCCCGGAGCAAAATATTAAATTTTTTCAATTCATTTTATTTACATATTGGTATAGAAATAAAAAATAAATTTACATATTAAAAAACTACATGAAAAGTTCTTCGAAATAAGAGGTGTCAATGTTTTCCGCTTGCTTTGTTATTTTTGTTGGTTGATATATAATACTTTCAAAAAACTGTTTTTTACTTTTAATAATAATATTTATTCGTAAAACATAATAAATAAAAGCAATTCATAATTAATAAATAGTAATAGTGTATAACAATAATTGTCATTTTAGTTATAATTATAATTAATAATGATAATCATCATCATTAATCATAACAATTAATAATAATAATAATAATAAATATATGTATTAAAATAATAATGATAATAAAAATTAATAATAATTACAATTATAATTATTAATAATAAAAAATTGTTGTTGTAAATAATAATGATAATAATAATAAATACTCCATAATAAATTATTACTCCCTTCGTCCCCCTGTATTTGTCCACATTTGACTTTTGGAATTGTTTATCTAAGCACTTTGACTCATCAAATTCTCTCAATGTGTAAGCCTAAATATAGTCATGTGTGATCTTGTTTGATTTGTCTTAACACATAGATTATTAATATATACTTTTTATAATTTTTTAATATACAAATTACAAGATAAAATGGATGAAAGAAGTGCATTGGATGATGTGTAAAAATGAAAATGAACAAATACAGGGGGACGGAGGGAGTATTATTTAAGTTTGAATTAGATCGATTCGGATCAGATTCATTTAGATTAGATCAGATCAGATCAATGTTAAAAAAATTCAATTCAGATCAAATGAGTCTAAGAGAATACAGCCTAAGGGTCCGTTTGGTACATGGAATCGAAGGAATTGGAATTGAAATTCCATGAGATTCAATTCCATAGAATTGAATTCAGCAATTCCAATTCATTTTTTGTACTATCAATTCCAAATCCACATACGTTTTTTGCTACCAAACACCAGAATTGGAATTGAAGTCCCCAATTCCAATTTCATAGTTTGAATTCCATATACCAAACAGGGCCTAAGTGTGAATCACTTTTCTAATTCCTTTTATAGAATGTATATTTATTTTGAAACAACCTAGAAGAAGGCATAAAAATTTGTTTTGGGACCAATCCTTTTTTTTTCATAGATCTAGTGTGATCGCAATAGAAATCTCAAAAGCTAGGCCCATCATATCGGAATCCGTACCCGAACCGGAAGCTCCAATAGCCCTTACTTCAGCTGCAATCGAAATCCCCAAATCACTCACTCGCTCTGTCCCTCTCCTTTGTTTGGGTTTTTCGTGCTCTCATCTTCTTCCCCTCTACCTTTTTGCGATTCAGTGAATCACTGTAAGGTCAAATCACTGTTTTAGGGTTTTCCTCGAACCCCACTCACTACAAGAGATCGCTTTAGTTCCGGAATCTCAGGGGGGTAAAATGCAGCAGCAGCCGCAGCAAACCCCGGCTCTCAACTCCGTCCCTCAGCTTCCACTCAATGCTGTCACCACTGAGCAGATTCAAAAGGTATTTTCTTTCGAGATGCTACTAATAGAACAAGCTATTGCAGATGGATCTAATGCGTGCTTACATTTCTTGTGCTATCTGAAGAGGAAATAAACAGTTTTATGCATTTCTTTGGTCATTTGGGTGTCTTGTTTGAAAACTGGAAGTAAATGATTCATTGTTACATTCATCAGCATACTTTTATTGATACAGTGTTTGGATGATAACAAAAATCTGATTTTGGCAATACTAGAAAATCAAAACCTTGGGAAGCTTGCGGAGTGTGCACAGTAAGTTTTTTGATTTTGCTCTTTGAAGATTCAGTATTTCCAGTTGCATTTTGTGTTTATATGTGACTGTTACCTTTTATAGTATCATCTATTTGTTGTTATACTCTGTAAAAAGTTACTGCATAGAGAAGCTTAGGTGAATAAAAGGCTAAATGCGTAGTATGAATAGGCTAGCGAGGCTTATGCCTTGAAGGTCTTTTTGGATTGAGGTGAACCTGAGTGAATCTATGCTAAGGTTTTTCTTAGGCTTATTTGATTTATGGACCTTCAGTTCACCTCATTTTCATTACCCAAAAATTAAGGGGAGATAGGGAAATAGTTAAATGATCACTCAGGTGATTACGCTTTTCTTAACCTAGTTTATGTATGAAATTTATCCTAAACTAGGCTCACCTAAATCCAAATGGGGTGTGAGGCTTGTCTCAAAGTGAAGCTATAGAAGCTTAATGTTACCACGTGAGGCATATGCGTAGTGAATCGTATAATGCTTCTGCCTTAAGTACTCCGTATTAGGTATATGTTGACCATTTTACATGCAAAATTTGTTTTTAAGGTAATTTAACACAACAAAACTTGCTTTTCACTACATGATGTTGTATGTTCTCACTTTATTCCTTAAAAAAACTTTAATTAAATTAAAAACGTTGTAATTTAGATGTGTGTTGTCTACCCAACCATATGTTTTTGCTCTCTACTCGGTTTTTTTCTTCTTTAATCAGATTAAAGCTTCCAAAAGTAATGACTTGCTTTGTTCTTCAACTCGACTTCTTGTTCATCCTTGCTCATGTGTGAGAAAGATCACTTAGATACAACAACAACATTACTCCAGTGTCTCAAAGGCTCCCGCCCATTGCTGGGTAAGGGGGGTCAGATGTACGGAGTCTAGCCCGTATGTTTAAAACATAGAGTGGCTGACCCATGATGAGCATCAAAAGTTGTATTGACTAACTGCTACTTCACTATTGAATGAAGCGCTGACAATTTAAAGAGTTATTTTGCTTTATTCCATCATACCCCAAAACCAAAAAGGAATGAATCTTTGGCACCATCGGAGATGATGGAAAGGAGAGAGATCACTTAGATATTTGATATTTGTTTCATGCAACTAAAACTATTATTATTGTGATTAATTAGGTCATATTCATTTTAGAATATTACTCTAGTGGATTCCACATTTTCCACACGCTTAAATGAAAATTGTGATTTTTTTGAAAGTAAAACAATACTTTACTTATAAGGCTTTTTGCATCAATTTTCCTCTAGGCGTATGACTCATGTGGCTAAAGCAAAGCGTGTGAATGCCCACTTTAACTTTATAAGGTTCCACTTATGGTTAACAATGATCGACTCAAGCTATTCACCATCTATTCACCTATTGGTTTAGAAATTAAAAATATATTTTATATATTTCAAAAGTACTTGGTTCTTATTCATTCATTGACATTTGATTATCTTTTGTGGCTTACATTGTTTATTTTCTCACATTTGATTTATACATAAACAAAATATGATCTTGTGGGGTCTTGTCTAGATATAAATTTTCGTTTTTTTGTTATGAACTTTTGTAAAATCAATTATTGTTTTAAAATTTTGCCAATTTATAATTGAAGATATCAATGATTTAATTTATCCGTTGGCAAACGTGAAAATCGTTTTGTTGCATTTATTAACGAATGGAGGAAGTTCATCATAACTTTTAAATTACTATAGGACAATATGTGACTTGACTATTTTGTTTTATCAAATCATCATTCAAAATATCCAAGGAAAGAAGATATAGTTTGACCCATGTGAATAGTGTAAAGTGGAACCTTGTTTTGAGACGGAGGGAGGAATATTTAGGTTCAATCCAGCATCAAGGATGGATGGGTTCTTCTGCTTGTTTGCCAAAGTAGGGATCTTTTATTTTCTATGTTCATTTAAGTTTCAAAAGATTATAGTAAGAAGATTGTGTGCACGATTGCAGTAGGGCGTATAAGGAAATGTCATAGATTGACTGGTGGCTCAAATTTTTTGTATGAAATATTGAATTGCGCTAGGTATCAAGCCATCCTTCAGAAGAATCTGATGTATTTAGCAGCGATTGCTGATGCACAACAACCGCCACAAGGATCAGTGAGCTCACAGCAGCAACAGCCGGTGGGTGGTTTAAACTTTAAGCCTTGTTTTTTTTGGGTTGGAAAAATTAACTTCCAACTTCTTCCATTTTCTTCCAACACCTTCCAGTTCCTTTGAACGACTTGAAAAAAGGTGTTTATATATTCAAATTTATAATATACCACCTCAAGCACGGGCAAGGATGAGTTCTTTTTTATCCAAGATCAGAGTTTTCTTTACATATTTATTTGGATGATCATTTAATTGAGTGACTTTTTAACAGTTTAATTCTTCCAACATTTTCTAACTCCTTCAAGTTTTTTTCCCAACTTCTTCCATTTTCTTCCAACATCGAACTCTGAAATTCCAACCCAAAAGAACAGACCCTAACTGCGATTACTGGATATCTTTTTTCTTTCTTTTTTTCTTTCTTTATGATAGCTTCATAGTGGTTTTCAGCAGGTGGGGGTGGTCCAAAGCCCTACTCAACAAATGCCAAAAACCCAAGCCACTAGTCTTCAGCAGCAACAAGTGCCACCAAAGTTGCCTTTCCAGCAGCAGCAGCCCAATAATGGCAGTGGTTTCCCATCCCAAGAGCAACAGCAGCAGCAGATGCTCCAGTTTCATCAGCAGCAACAGCAATTCCAAGGCCACCAGGCGGTCAACAATGCCGCCACCCCCGCCATGCACCACCAACTCATGCGGCCCGCCCCCGCCAATGGCTTGGAAGCTAACAGTGATGGACTCAACACCAAATTGCCTCCCGGGCAAGGCGGCGGCGGTGGAAGGGGGAATGAGTAGTAATGATAATAATAATAATAATAGTAATGAGCTTTCTGAGTAGTTATTGTACTGACTGACGTCAATCAAGTGTACTACTAGTCAAAACAAGTTTGGTTTGTATTCATGACGAGGAGGTTTCAACTCTCTTTAACCCATTATGGTGATATTAAAACATTTACACTATGTTTGGCTATGGAATTTTGGTTCAAGGAATTTGAAAGAAAAAATCGAAGAAAATGATACTATCTTGACTATTTCTGTAGTTTTGTTTTTTTTACAGTAAACTATTTTTAATTTTTGACTTATTATTAAATAAGATATATATATGTGGTATACTCCCTCCGTCCCTAAATATATCTCACATTTTTAGTACCGAGGTAAAGTATCGAGTTTTTTCAATTCATTTTATTTACATATTGGTATAGAAATAAAAAATTAAATTTACATATCAAAAAATTACATGAAAAGTTTTTCGAAATAAAAGGTGTCAAGAATATTTTATTTTATCAAATAACCAATGAAAACGTAGAATTAAACAAAAGTTCTGCGACTGCTGAAAAAACAAATGTGAGATATTTTTAGGGACGGAGGGAGTATTAATTAGATAAAATAATACTCCTTTTGTCCAATAATAATGTTTCGGTTACGCATTACGATGTTTGATTGAAGTTATTTTCAAATTATTTTATATAAAAAATTGTATGAAATTAAAAAATAAAAGTTACGTATTTAAAAATTACATGAAAAGATTTACAAAACTAGAGTTGATATGATTATATTATTTTATCAAATGTGCAAAGAATATACTCCAATATCATTGTTGGACGGATGGAGTATTTTATTAGTATTTTATAAATATATTTAATTAAATTATTTTTGTATCAATGTCTAATATTACTTTTATTTAATTCGTGGCCAAAAATTGCCAACTGTGACTGAAAAAAATTAAAATTAGGAAAAATTTAGGGGCATGAGTAATATGTAAAACAAGTTTTCTTTTGTTTGGCTAAAGAGGAAAGTAATATAGGGATGAACACCAAGCTTTATTGAAATGAAAATACTACGGAGTATAATACTAGTAATTGATAACTATTCCGCATTAGCTCGCAATAATGACAAACTTCAATAATACCTTGAGTAATACTTCCTCATCTCAAAAAAAATGTTGCAGTTAACTATTTAAAAATCACGAAAACTTTTATTTATTTATTTGATTTCAACGATTATTTGTTAAGATAAAATAGTATTATAATAACCTTGTGTTTTGAAGTAAAATTTTTAATTCATGAGTACTTTCATAGAAATATATACTTACTTCATCCCATAAAAAAATCATAATCCCTTCTCGTTGTCACAAAAAAAATTTACCTTCCACATTTGAAAACAATTGTGTCCTTTATACTTTCTCTCTCCTTTGCATGATTCTAAACTAGACATGGTAGACAAAGATTTTTCTTAATTTTCGTGTCAAGTTAAAAGTAAAACTTTTTTTTATAGAAATGAAGCATCAAAAAGCAATTAAATGCATAAAACATGTTGACAAATAACCGAGGTACTTTTCTCAAAGAGCTGTGGAATTCCTTTTACTCCGAGGTATATTTTTTATAACTAGTAATTGGATATTTTTCTTTGTACAAGACCAATACCTCTAACCATTCAAGAATTTTCTCTCATTATCCTAAGGTTCACACATGAAATATGGACTTTTTCAGACTTTTAATAGACTAATATATGATTTTTTTTTCTTTTTTTTGTAAAATTTCAAAACTTTTATGATATCAATGCACTAAAATTTATAAAATAAATATAAGCTTTAGGATTACGTAAGAATTTATAAACTATTTTATTAACTAAGATCCATAAAGTAAGGTTATGTTTGTGAATAGCGTTAGAGATTAGCGTTAACGTTTTGGATAAAATTTTAACGGTGCAGATTACTTTAAAAACACTAACGCTGCCCGTAGATAGTTTTTTCAAAACGCTAACGCTATTCCCAAACAGGCTCTCAGTATACCTAATGACGACCAAAGAATTTACCATTTTTAAAAATATACAATCACTTTCAAAATATTATGGAGTAATTAAAATTCATACGTAGTAATAATCTTTTTAACACCCACAAAAATATTTTAATACCAAAAAAAGGATTATTTATAAAAATTCCTAATCCAATACACCACCAAATGATCCTAACTGGGAAAAATCCCAGCCGTTATCGTCTCTGCCACCGACGTGTGCGATCGCAATAGAAGATCTCAAAAGCCCGGGCCCATCAAGGAATTCGTGCCCGAACCGGAAGCTCCAATACCCCTCCCTTATTTCTCCTGCAATCGAAATCCCCAAATCTCTCTCTCTCTCTCTCTCTCTCTCTCTCTCTCTAGCTCTCCATCTCCTGCGTTGGGTTTTTTGTGCCTCTCAATCTTCTTCTTCGGCTCTATCTATTGTCTTCTCCTTTTCTCTGCGATCCAGTGAATCACTGTAAGGCCGAATCTCAAACCCTAATTCGCTCATTGTTTTGTTTCTTTCTAGATCCTTGTATCGATTACTAACAATATTAAATGAGTTTTTTTTTAGAGTCATACATGCATCGTCCATGCGCTGTGCATATGCTTGTTTGTTGTGTTGTGTTTGATTTAGATTCTCGTTTGACTTGCATTTTTTTTGAATAATTTTTGGTGTTTTGATTTTTGTTTGTTTGTTTGAGGTAAATTTGGTTTCAGATCAAATTGATCGTATTTATGTGTTTAGTCTGATTAATTTCCTTGATCAGTATGTTGACGAGCCTTTAAATTGAAAAATGATTGTAGTGTTTGACTTTAGATTTGTTTTTATCACAAGTGATCCTTGTTGTGAGTAGAATTCAGATTATTTTTTCGACATACTGAGATTTTATGCATGACTGTTTGTATTTCCTTAACTATAGAAATCAGAATTTGAATCCGTTGAATGCATGTACAAATATAGTGCATTTAAAAAACAATAATGTAGTTTAGAAGCAATTTTACTGTTTTTTCATTGGTGGATTTTTTTCCCAAGCCATACTTCTTTGCTATATTTCATTAGAATTTTTGACTTACTGTGTTTTGGTCATTGCAAAGGCAACCATGAGCGACCAAGGAGAAAAGACCTGTCCTCTCTGTGCCGAGGAGATGGACTTGACAGATCAGCAACTGAAACCATGCAAGTGTGGTTATGAGGTTTTAAATATTTCTCTTCAATTTTCTCTATTCAATGTTGCATAAATCTATAGTTGGTCTTTGGGTGGATCACCCTCACCTAGTTCATAGGCCCACCGCCTGGTGCATTGATGGTTACTTGGTTATATATTTGCTCCCTAGCCGACCTAATTGGATGTCTAATCTTCCTAGTTCACCTTTCTAGCTCATACACTTAGGCTGCGTAAATGTTTTATTATAATGCATTTTGGTATTTATATGGTCTATAGGTAAATTTTGTTAATCTGAACATTCATTTTGTTACTCCCTCCGCCCCCCTAAGATGTTCTCATTTTGACTTTTGGTGGTTTTTAAGGAGAGTTGAAAAAAGATGAAAGTTTACCATAATACCCTTAATAAAAAATGGATGGAGTGTATTAAATGAGGTGGGTGAGGTGTAATAAATAAAGTAAGTGGGGGTAGTTGTGGTATTTTAATTGTTAAAAAATGAAATGAGAAGATCTATTGTGGACAAAGAAAAAGGACTATTGAGAAGATCTATGAGGGACGGAGGGAGTATAACACAAATACACAATTAAGGTTTGCCCATTTGCTTTCCCCCCCTCAATAACTATGCCATCCAAAAGGAGCAACAACAACAATCCAATTGAATCCTGCGAGAGTAGGGTCGGGGGGAGGTGTGTGTCCGCAGCAGACCTTACCCCTACTTTAAAGTAGGGAGATTGTTTCCAAGAAACCCCGGCTCAAGTAACGCAAATAGCACAAGATCATATAAAACAAATAAAGGGGAAGAAACGTAAGGCAGAGAAAGCACCGAGCACAAAGAAGCAAAGAATAAACTAAATAATAACGAAGGGAAAACACAACAAACAGAAAGCACAAAGCATAACCAGCACACAACAAGTGCAAAAACTACCACACCCATCCAAGAGGGGAAAACATTCATTATTAGATATTGTTCTTATTTCTGCAATAGGATACTTTTCATTTGAGTTGGCACTTTTGAGGTCTGTGATTTTTTATTTGAATTAAACTTCAGGTTTACAATGCTTTATGAATTTTTTATTTGAACTACGCTTGAGGTTTACAATGTTTTATGGTATTTAGAATACTACTGTGTGGGTTGTGCAGATATGTGTTTGGTGCTGGCATCATATTATGGATATGGCAGAGAAGGATGAGTCGGAAGGCAGATGCCCAGCATGTCGCACTCCTTATAACAAGGAAAAGATTGTTGGCACAGCTCCCAACCGTGAAAAGTATGACCCTCAAAAATATACTCTATAGAGTGAATCTATGAAAGTGTAAGATTCTGTATTCATATTTGTGATTGTCACAACAGGATAGTTGCTGAGATGAGTTTTGAGAAAAAGATGAAGTCTCACAAGGGAAAAAGCAAGACATTGGAGTCGAGGAAGCAACTTTGTAGTGTACGAGTAATCCAAAGGAATCTAGTCTACATTGTGGGATTACCTCTTAATTTAGCAGATGAAGATGTATGTATTTTTAAAAAACTACAGATGTACTCTAAGTTATGCTCATTACCTTACTCCTACCTCTCCTACGTGCAAACAGATTTTACAGCACAAGGAATATTTTGGTCAGTATGGAAAGGTTTTGAAGGTATCTATATCCCGGACAGCTGCGGGTTCCATTCAACAATTTCCAAATAATACATGCAGTGTGTAAGTTTGATCTGCTGGGGTGTTGTAATATAATAACCATTCTGCTTGAGAATGGTGAATATACAGTTATACACACACACACACACACACACACAGACATCCTCCATTCTAAACTAATCACAACGGTAATAAATTTACACTATTCACCCGCCCTCATCTGACCATCTATTGTGATTCATATGCAAGTAAAAAAGGTCATGTGGGATCTTGTTAGATTCATCCCAATAAAAACTTTCATTAAATCATTTTTATAATTTCTAGAAAAATATAGTTGAAGATATTAATGATTTAATTTGATAAATGGTAAGCGTAAAAAAAGGAAATGTTGTGAAACAGCCTCTCTACTCTGTTGTTGCTACTGCTGTTGTCGTTGTGTGTGTAGTGTGTGCGTGCACACACATGTGTGTCGCTTTAAATGATATGCACATAATGTGTAGTTATTTTATGGGATCCTTAAATTGTTTACTTTTGTTAAAATTTTGAGTTATTTACTTCTGATTATGATCTCCCTCCTCTGGCTAGATATATCACATATTCAAAGGAGGATGAAGCAGTTCGTTGTATTCAATCTGTACATGGATTTTTCTTGGATGGCAGACCTCTAAAGTGATTACAACCTTCACTTCAGCGTTTCATTATGTTCATTATTTTTGGTGTTTGGATCTCATTCTGACTGATTCTGCTCCTCTGAGAATGTTTTGGATGGCTGAGAATTGAGCTCACATCTTTGGGCTCCCAGCCTGTTTTGGAGCAGTGGGGACATGCTTCCTCAAAACTGATTGATATTCTAATACAGTTTTTTTTCTCTTTTTTAATCGAACTCGGGAATATTCTAATACAGTTCTTTTCCCCCAAAATGCCATCTTGAAAAAATGACTACTCTTGCACAATATTAACTCACAGTGTACCCTTTTGGTCATTTTACACAAGAATCAATGTTTATGTTAGTCCTTCTAAACACTCAAAGAAATTGTGTTTCATACAACTGAAGCAATGCCAAACACTAAAAGAGACCTTTTTCTCATTTAACAAAACTTTCAAAATATGAGTGCAAACATCCCATTTAATGACAGTTCATTACTAAAATGAATTTGTTTTGTGCAGAGCATGCTATGGAACAACCAAATACTGTCATGCTTGGCTTAGAAATGCGGTATAATCTTCAAAAGAATTAGAAAATTGTTAAGGAGTTGTTATCTGAATTTGGTTGCTTTCTTATGTATTTATTTGTCTTGTTTTGGATGTTTTTTTTAAAATTTTCCCTATTGTTTTTCCAGCCTTGCACCAATCCTGATTGTTTGTACTTGCATGAGATTGGGTCGGAAGAAGATAGCTTTAGTAAGGATGAAATAATATCAGCCTATACAAGGTACACAACTACATACTATATATAAGGCCAAACTATATTTTCTTTCTTTACACAATTTCATTTATCGTTTGATAAAATAAAATATTCAAGGCACCACTTATTTTGTAGTACTCTTGATTTAGTTTTTAAATATGGAATTTAATTGTTTTATTCTACACCAATTTTCAAATATATTGAAATTTGTAAGGTTGAAACTTTTGATATAGTTTTTAAAAATAGAATTTTCATTTCTGTATACAATGTTTGCCTGTTCAGATTTCATTGTTTTTTGGTACTAAGGTACTTACATTGTGCTCTTTTATTTGTTTCATGACTATGCTTCTTATCAGAATAAGCCCAGCTTTACCGCCCCCCCGCCCCCCCACACTGCCTCTCCAGATTTTGTTGTTGGTTCTGAGCTTTTTATATTGAGCTTATTTGTTTCATGATTACCCTTTAGGATGCTATTTAATAAAATGAGCTGAGCTTCATTCTAGTTTTTCTCTAGTGGCTGGGAATTAACATCCATAATATTTTACAGGAATAGAGTCCAACAAATTACGGGTGTCTCAAATACTGCACAAAGGCGATCAGGGACAATTTTGCCACCGCCGGCTGACAATTATTGCAATAACTTTGCTTCTACTGCAAAACCTATCAGTAAAACCACCACAAATGTAAGTTTTCTGCTGTCGTGCAACGAGGTTTTGTCTATTCTTGTGGGGAAGGCATGATGATACTCTTTTCCTCATATCAGCTATATGAATATCTATTGTCCTACTCTATTGTTGCATACTTGCATATGTAGTTTAATAGTTTCTTCACTGATGTTCTAACATACATTTCTTGACCAACTTGTCATGTTGATTGGTAATGCACATAATGCTGCTTACGTTTTATTTTTTACCAGAATTCCGCAACCCCAATAATAGTATCACCTCCGAATACTAGTTCTGGTAGATCTGCTGCTCTTCCTGCTGGTGCATCATGGCATGATCTCTCATCTCATTTGGCTTTCATGTCTTGTTATTTTCTACTAGATGTATTTACACACTAATATATCACTTTTTCAGGGGGGCGCGTGCCTTGAATAATCAACCACCTCCTGCAAGCTCACCATATTCAAATGGACCTTTAAAATCTAAACCTGAAATGTCCAACAGTTCGTCGTCATTCTCTGCAGCGGTTGCAAGTACTGGTCAGAGTTCATTGCATGCTGCTGACCGAGATAAGCAGCTCACTCATGTTGATCAAAGCAGCAATAATAAAAAACGGAGCAAAGTAGGAACTCCAAAACCTGCTATGCTGCAGCATGTAGAAGTAGATGATCAAGTCTGTGTTACGAAGACCACCCTACCCTCACCAGTTCCACTCCTACACAGTCACAATGCTGCCAAGGAAAAGGATAGGCATACACCTAGATGTTCTGCTGATTGTGAATCGGTGTCACATAGACCTGATACGGCAAAAAATGCACCACAAGCTCCAGGTCATAATAGACCTGATACTTCAAAAAATATAGCTGAAGCTCCGGTTCAAAATAGACCTGATACTGCAAAAAACTTAGCTGAAGCTCCGGTTCAAAATAGATCTGATACTGCAAAAAACATAGCTGAAGCTCCGGGTCAGGAAATTGATAAGTTACAAGCGAACATATCATCATTAAGCATTGATAGACATAAATCTTCTCCATTGCTCAGCTATGTTCATTCTAGGGATCCTTTAGCATCTGAGGGTAAAGCCACAATACATGCTGATGAGAGTTGCACAGAAAATGACAAGTCGGACTCAAGAGTTGATTTGAAAATGCAGGTTGTTGTTACTCATGAAGGTGGTGATGGTATTCCCGACAGTGGCCACATCCAAAATCCATCACTACCCTTACATTCTTCAACTTGTTCTCCTTTTCTCAGCAACAGTATTGGGTCTGTTGATACCGATATGCATATTGTAGATCGGAAATGTGATTCATTATTACAGCCTTCAAGTTCACACAAGTTACATAATGGTAGTAGTGAGGACGTAGTTAACAATTCTGCTGATTTTGGAAACCCCAACAAAGGTTCCAGTTCATTGTCACCCGCAGATCAGAGGAAGTTTGCGAACACTTCTGAAGGCGTAACCACAACTGCTGACATGGGAGAGAGTAGCATAATTTCAAATATCTTGTCACTGGATTTTGATCCATGGGATGCACCTTTAACTTCACCTCAGAATCTGGCCAAGTTGTTGGGGGATTCTGATAAACAACAGCCCAGTCTTATTCTATCAAGTTCATTAAAGTTACATACGAGCAATGAGTCAAGGTTCTCTTTTGCCAGGGAGGAGAGATCTATAAAACAAGCATCAGAGCTTGAACCATCTTTAGGTCATATGCAACAGTCTTTTCATCATCCTTTAAACCAAGACTTGTCCAGTACCCGAAGCTTTCAAGATAACCCTGGTCTTCAAAGTGGTTTCTCTCTTATCCACAATGAGGATAATGGATCTGTCAGCAGTTATCCTACCTTTTTATCTAACAATATGTCAGGTTGGTTATTTCCTTCCCTATCAATATTAATGTTAGTATATTCCTCTTATCTCTTTCTTTAATCATGGGTACGCCAAGCTGGTTGGTAGGAACCTGCTGTTTGCTGATGAAAGTTATCTGTTTTCGTCAAGTAATTGTCATGAAGGGTGGCTTTTCATAATTGTACTTTTATGCGAGCCTTGTGTAATCAAATCAAGTAAAATTTCAAACCAATTTATTGTAGACATTGTTTAATCTAATTGCTCCCCTTATTATCCACTTTGCCATTTTTTTTCATTTCAATAATTTTCATTATAATATTCTGAAAACAGCATCAAGACCTCAGATGTCTGCCCCGCCTGGATTTTCAGCACCTAACAGAGCACCCCCTCCAGGGTTTTCTTCTCATGAAAGAGTGGAGCATAATTTTAGTTCTGTCTCGGGTTAGTAATTTGTTCTTCAAATTTTTCATTTCACACCCCAATTGATTGACATTTGAAAAAGCATAGTTAATGATACAAATTCTGGATGGATTAGTTATCAATGTCATGGTGCCTGTTTTTGGCAGGGAATCAATTGCTGGATTCTGCAGTGTTACAGAATCAGTATCAGAATCCACCTGGAAATATGGTGGTGGATAATGATGGTATTGAGTTGATGGATCCTGCAATTTTGGCAGTTGTTACAGAGAAGGTTCCTATTCCTAGTGGTCTTAATTCCTCAATAGGATTACTTTTGGGTCAAAATTTTCATACTCAGCAAATGAATACTTTTGAAAATGAGCTGAGGCTTCAGTTATTAATGCAACGTTCTCTACCTCCAACACATCAGAACCAGAGGATAGGGGAAGGGCCGGGTAACTTTTTGCCCTTTCATGAAGCTTATGGTATTCCTCAAAGAGGAGCTGGCGGGGAACAAGTAATGTCTGGCAATATTTCTCCATTCTCACAATTCAGTACTCCACAATCTAGAGGCCCTGTCATTTCAAATGTCCATTGGGATGTGTGGAATGGGGTCAATAATGGTAATGATTTGGGCATGGCTGAGCTTTTTCGCACAGAAAGGATGGGGCTTAACAATGTCTGCCCTGGGGGATATGAAGATGCCAAGTTCTGTGCCCCTAGTTCTGGAAATTTCTATAATAGACCGTTTGGTATCTAAGTGCTTGCTCGCTACGGGATTCTTCTGGCATTCATAAAAAATGTGTAACAAACGAGTGAAATGTGACCCTGATGGATAAAGTGGCATAGACAGCTCTCTGGGTGTGTTGCAGTACACAGAATAACCGAATCTGCTGCATTTGTGACTTGTATGACAGAATTGCACCCACAATGATGGGAATGCTCTTTGACTACTGTCTGAGCTACTTTCAGATTTGGTGTAAGGACCCATCCCTTTCTACAGGTTTGGTCAGAAACCAAGAGGTCAGTACATATTCCACCTAGCAATGTTAAAATGTTCAGCCCTGCTTAAGTTTCTAAATCAAGTCATACTTGTCTTAGGCACATTAGAAAATTGATCAAGGGGTTCCTTTGGTTTTCGACTTGATTTAGAAGAAGAAAAAAAAGAGAAGTCATGTACCTTTTAGGCACACATGATCAAATTCCCCCGAACACTAAACTTTTAGGATCAGAATCCGCACTAAATTATCCGACTTTTGAATTTGACAAAATGCACCGATGGCCCTAAAAGTAAAATTGTATAATCCGTAGCTGCAAAACAATACCTCTTACAATGAATGCTTGTCAGGTGAAAGAAGCTGAGATTCAGGCTCATGACAAAATTTGACATGGAAATATGGCTTGGTCCTGTGGGGGGCAACATGTGATTTTCAGTTTGGGTCTGATCTTTGATCAGAGGGCTGAGAACAAAGAGATTAAGAGAAAGAGAGATAGAGCCACACCAGGTTTTATCAGTATATCTGTCTTTTGCTCATTTGTATGGTAAGTACATGATTACTTGGAAAGACCTGAATAAAAATTGAAAATTATGTTTTTTTTTTCATTTTTCTGCTATTTCTTTTGCCACAGTAAAATATGCGGAAGAAATACATTGTGTTATAATTTCAACTTGCCATCATTTGATTCATCTTGAAATGCATTGGAGTAGGTATTATTATTGAAAATTTTGTTTATGTACAAATATACTATCCCGGTAGTACATATTAATGGTCAAATTTTCTTTGGAGACCGTAAAATATGTCAATTGGAGCACTTTGAAGGCTGGTTATGAATGTGAAAGGTTGTACATTTGTCATTTTTTGCAGAAATATTATTTGTATTAATGTATTTACAGACCTGCAAGTCATGGACTTGGAAGCATCTTGGATAGTTAGTACGGAGTACATATTGTACAATTTCCCTTTATAGAAATATTGAGGACCTGTTTGGTACACGGAATTGAATTAAGAGTTGAAATTCTATGGAATTGATTAGGACGGAATTGAAAATTTCAATTCTAAGGGTCTGTTTGGTATACGGAATTGACAGAATTGGAATTGAAATTCCATGGGATTCAATTCCATAGAATTAAATTCTACCAATTCCAATTCATTTTTTACACTATCAATTCCAAATCCACATAAATTTTGTGCTACCAAACACCAGAATTGAAATTTAATTCTTCAATTTCAATTCCATAATTTGAATTTCGTGTACCAAATGGGGCCTAATTCTTTTTTTGGCACTAATTTCAAATTTACATATCTTTGAGCTGCTAAACAGCAAAATTGGAATTGTTAACCATTCAAATATTATAGTTTGAATCTCGTGTATCAAAAGTAGCCTAAAGGATTGTTTAAGTACCCCCCGTTTCAATTTTATTTTTAACTATAAACTAATATTGAAATCAATTGCTGAACAGTGTAAACTTTGCAATGAGTTTAGTTGCTCGAAACATGATTAATTGGTCAAATGTGTTACTCTCTGCGTTTGCGTAAGCAAAAGCCTAGACAATTTATAAAGAAAGTTCACTCGGAAAAATGATACGATGCAATGAATGCGACGTCCCAATTTAAATCGTCTATTTCGGTTTACGATATTTGATTAAATTATTTTTAAGTTATTTTATTTGAAAAAAGGTGTATAATTAAAAAAATTACATTAAAAAATTTAAAAAACTAGTGGTGATATGACTATATATCATCATTTTATAAATGACTAACGAAAATAGGAAAAAATTGTGAATGAAGTTTGACGCTGTGAACAGTAAACAGATAATTTAATTTGGGACGGATAGAGTATTCGGTAGTAAAAAAATCATCAAAAAATACATATAAATAAATACTCCTGTTGCAAGTTTTTATTTTAAATTTTCACTTTGTGATGACAAGACTGAGCAGCTATTTTCACTTTGAACTGTTGCAAGTTTTTTTTTTAAATTTTTTTATTTGTGATGACAAGACTGAGTTGCGTTGATGGGTGACGCGCGAGGTGGAAGATAATTTTCATACGAACGTATTGGGTTAGGTGCTCCTAGCAGCGTTTTGTTTGGTTTGGTATTTTAAAAGGATTATGCCATGTCTACTCCAAGATTTGTACCCCAATTTGTACCCCGCAATTTTGCACCAACATTTTGTGTTGGTGTAAAACTAATTTTTGTTAAACGCACCAACATTTGTGTCCGTGTGAATTTTTATTAACGCACCAACACTTGTGTCGGTGTAAACCATCGAAATGTTTGTGCAAACCTGTGGTGTACAAATGGGGTATATTTGTTGGTGTAAGTGTAGCATGGTCCATTTTAAAAAGATTATCTAATACTACTACCTCCGTCTCAGAGTATTTGTCCACTTTCATTTTTACACACCATCCAATGCACTTCTTTAATCAATTTTATCTTGTAATTTGTATATTAAAAAATTATAAAAATTATACATTAATAATCTATATGTTAAGACAAATCAAACAAGATCACACATGACTATATTTAGGCTTACACATTGAGAGAATTTGATGAGTCAAAGTGCTTAGATGAACAGTTCCAAAAGTAAAAACCGGACAAATACTCCAGGACGGAGGGAGCATAATAAAAGTGTCTAGCTTATTGCTTTCAAATTTATTGTACGCCATTAAAATTTTGTGTACAAGTTAATACCAATTGAAAATGTTATTATCTTACTATTATTATTATTATTATTATTATTATTATTATTATTATTATTATTATTATTATTATTTAAACTTTGGTGCACATCAGAAGAGTGGTTTTATAATCTTTTCTTTGATGTAGACACTACTTCGTACGTCACAGGCCTACAAACCTTATTCGTCCTTTTCAGATAAAAACCCCTTACTCCCTTAGGCCCTTATTGATCCAAAAGTTAGGAAAATGCACAGCGCAAAAATGACACAATATATATCGTCCAAGTGATTGTATGGTATTTTCCGTATATCTGTGCTGAGTATTTATTTATGAGTAATCGAGTACACATTTCCGAAGTACTGAATATTCATTTTCAAGTAATTGAATATTTCTTCTAAAATTTAGCAATACTCGTAAATAAACATTCAATTACTTGAAAATGAGTATTCTATTACTTAAAAATTAATATTCAATTACTCAAAAATGAGTATTCAAGCAAATGTTTGCCAAACATCATACATGGAGATGTATGATATATGTATTCCGAAATTGGTGTTTTAAATTTTATCTCACTTAGTACATACGAATATGCATTTTGGGGACATAGCACATCTCTAATTCTACATTCACACGTGCATCATCCATTGATGTAAACTCTATTTCACGATATTTAAGAGAAAAAAATTTGGCTACTCTTGTATAATTACTCAGTATTATATGGAGTTGTCAAAATTTGATTCAACTTCTTAATTTGATACTCCCTCCGTCCTATAATGATCTTCCCAGGGTACTATTCCAACTTTACGGGAATTTATATTTATTTGTGTTTTTTCATGGCCTATATGATAAAATAAAATATTCTTGTCACTACTTGTTTTGTTGAACTTTTGATGTAGTTTTTAAATATGTATGTTTTATTTTTTATTTCTATACCAATATTTAAATAAAATAGATTGAAAAAACTTGGGATTTTTCTTCGTTTTGCGAACCGGGAAGATCATTATAGGAGGGAGTATTAACACAATTAAACATGCATTTTGCCATTTAATCTCGAAAAAAAAAGCTAACTCGAAGACTCGTAAAATTTTTAGCCCCGGTCGGGTTTGATCCGAAGGATTTAAGTTTAAGCGTCTAACCCTTTGAAAGCCAGGAGATAGTTTTTCACTTTTTTTAACAAAGATAGTTTATCACTTATTTTAATTAAATATACAAATATCAAATAATATTCTCAATGTAAGAGCATGGCAAGCGGCGAGGCATCTCCTCGACTTGCTCTGCCATACCACCAAAATTCTTGCTTGGCGTGTAGTGGCAAGACCGCGTTCCACCCCGCCAAGCATTCCATGTGCGTGTCACATTTTTTTTATTTTTTTTATTTTTTTTATTTTTTTTTATTTTTTTTTAACTTTTTTTGTACAAAAAAGAAGTTTTTTTTAATAGGAGCACATCTATTTTTGTAAAATAATTTCGTAGCTTCTTTTTCTTATTTTAATTAAATAATATACAAATATCAAATGATATTCCCAAAGTAAGCCCAAACCCCATTTATAAATAGAGGAATTTACATAAATAGCACTAAAACATAATGACTTTCCCTAAATAGCACTACATGTGTTTTCTTCCCAATGTATCACTTTTAGTCATTATCCATTAGTCATTATTCGAGTAAATGTTTGCCACGACTGGTCATTATGGACATTATTAAGTGCTATTTAGAGAATAAAAAATTTAAATGCTCTTTAAAGAAATGACTTAAGTTTTAGTGCTATTTAGTGTAAATATTTCTTATTAAATACGCACACTGCTTAAAAAATGAAAAACTAAAGTACAATTAGTCCGCACATCTTCATCTGCTTAGAATCATGGATGTCTTATCTTCTCCTGATTTTAAGATCCACATGTGAATTATAGATATACGTACATATTTTTCATGAAATCATAATTGTATATTCTCCATTTTACATGGTCCATTACAAATAATAATTTCATGCATTAACGTTTGTATAATGAGTATGAATCTAAGGATCACAAAAGAATTTGTCATCTTTCCTTGTGATATGCTTCTCTGCTCATCTCGGCCATCTCCTCAAAGGTGAGAAGACACAAAAACTTTAGGGTGTGTTTGGTGAGCAAACAAAATATGGATTTTGATATCTCCAGATGTCAGAATCCTTTTTGGGTGTTTGGTATAGTAAAAAAGATCGATATCAAATTCGATATCTCCAGATATCATAAATTATTCAAATGGGGGATTTCGATATCTTTCGAATTTGAGAGATATCAATATGGGAGTTTGATATCTCTCTCAAGTCTCAACCAATGATCATTCTCCGTCACCGGTTACCATTGTCACCACCAACTACTCCCGTCGCCGGTCACCCTCGGTTATCACTAATTAAATCATAACTTTAAATCTCTCCATACAAATTTGTTCCAGATTTCAAAACTCATACCACTTCTCTCAAATTTCATAATTCATATGTTACCATTTCACCAAAACTTATCAAACCGACCTTTAACCGTATTCCTATCTCTAACTAATCAGCTTTGGTTGGCCCACGAAAAGTCTTAAACTTGGGACCATATATACATGCATGAGTAACCAAGCCATGATCGACTCATCGTATGTAGAATAAATAAATTTGAAACGTGAAATAATGTGTAGTAATAATTAATAATGATTGATTGGTCTATGGTGTCCCACGAGGTGATTGGGTTTGCTACATGTTTCATGTTTGTATCAAATCATCATTTTATCATATGCTTTGTTCTCTGTGTGGAAGAATAATTATTAAACTCATGAAACATGACAACGCTGCACGACCGCTCCCTAGTCACTTCCCTCCCGTGTGCGCCCTGTCTCAAACTATAGTAGTGTTTAACAATTAGAGCAAATTCCGGCAACAACTTTTTCTAATAAAATGTTTTCTTAAATTACTCATCAATAAATAATAATTACGGAGTCTTCTGTTAAAAAATATTTATTAAATGACAGTTAAAAGAAAGGTATTTTTGTATTTGTTATCATCTAAAGTATGAATAAGTTTTCAAAATAGTCTTTTCGGATTAAGTAGGCTCATGGACTCCATTTTGGGAAAAGATTTACTTGGAAGTTATCAGCTTGAAAAAATACAAAATTATAAAGGAGCATTTCGAAAAAAACTATTTTAAGTGAAAATACCAAAATATCTTATATTTGACTTGCATTTAATACACATTTTTTGTATATGATCATTTAGAAAATAAATCTAAATTTTAAAGGATCACACATGTGATTAATGTATTGAGGACTAATTTGGAAAATTGTTCTATCAGAAAGAACCATTTTGAGAATCCACTCTTTTTTCTTTTAACATATTCTTAGTATTACTACAAGTGGAGGCGGAAATATTATCTCATTATACTCCGTATATCATTAGATTGAAAAACTATAAATAAATAATACTCCATTGTAATCAAATAAATAGCACTCAAATAATAATAGTAATATTAATAACAATCGTAATAAAGTTATTAAAATAATTTTAACTTTTAGTAGATTTTATAAATGGTCCTTTATAACTAAAAGTTTTTTCATATTTAGTCCTCAATTAACAAATATTATGTCCGCAATCTTTTTTTAAATTGATACTCCTCCACGGTTAGTCCTTATTTGAATTTCTGTGTTGCCGCTGTTAAATAGAGGGCTATCCTAGTAATTTGACACGAGTCATCCAGTCCTCTTCCCCTGTAAGTCAATTGTCTTCATCCCGCTTTATAGTTTCGACGGGTATGGGCCGGGGTTCATCGGCGGTTCTTCAACACGTCTTGGAGTGCAAACCTAGCCCACTTAATTGCTTCGATAGGTGTGAGGTTAATCGGCGGCGACATAAGTGCATTTGGGACAAAGGGCTTTTCGTGGAAAAATACTCATAAATGAACGCAAATTATAGCGTACATCCGGTTGTACCTAATTTTCTGTACAACCGGTTAATTGAAGAATGAATGAGATGGAACGGAAGCCGCCCGAATTACTACCGCTCCTCTATTTGTCGGGTCAGGCCACCGGAGAAGAAAGACGGAAGGTGGCAGCGGTGATGACGAGGAGCAGCGAAGACGGAAGACGATGGAGCAATGAAGATGACGAAGAGCGATGGTGGCGAAAATCCAGAGAAAACGATGGAGAAGGAAGGTGGCGGCGTTACAGCTGGTCGGGTCGCATAGATCGAAAGAAAGCCGTTGTAGATGGAGGAGAGGCTGGGATGAAACCCTAGTTGAAGAGAAAAAGGTTATTCATGGTATGTGTTTTATTCTATTTTAGAATGGGCATTAAGTTATTTTAGAATGAGTACTATTTTTATTCAGAATGAATACTACGTTATTTGTGAATAAATATTATAACTGTATTGAATAAATGTGTGAATATGAGCATTACATTATTTTAGAACGAGTACTACGTTATTTTAGAATGAGTACCAAATTTTCAAAATGAATAGTTATATTTGTGCGAGAATGAGTACTACTTTACTTCACAATGAGTACTATCCGGATGTACCTATCTCTAGGTACAACCGGTTGTACCATATACCTTCTCATAAATGAAGGACTTCTTACATAATACTCCCTTCCTCCTAAATAGAATGTCATAGTTAACTATTCAAAAATCACATTATCTTTTATTTATTTATACATTTTCATTATTTATGGAGTATTTGATAAAATAAAATATTTTGTCATCTCTTTTTGAAGATCTTTTAACATAGTTTTTAAATATGTAAATTCTATTTTTTATTTCTTTACTAATCTTTAAATAAAATGACTTGAAGAAGTTTGAATTTTCACTTTGTTTTTCGTAATGTGGCAAACATTTTTGGATGAAGGAAGTATTTTCTAATTAGAAACTAAATATGGAAAAATTTCCATTATTAAAACCAATTCTAGAATTTACTCTTTACATTTTATTAGGATCAGATGAAATAAGATCATGTCCAATTAGATTCAATCAAATTAGATCAGGTCTAATCATATCAGACCCAATCAAATTTGATCAGATCAAACTAAATCAAGTTAGATCTAATTAGATCACATCCGATTAGATTAGATCATACTAGATAAAATCAAATCTAATTAAATGATATTAGACCATATTTTCAAAATATCAAATAAGGATCAATAAGATCAAGTGAAGGAAAGAGATCCTTAGTGAGTATTTAATCACTAAAGGAAAATACTACTTCGTAGTCCGTAGTATAATGAAAACTACTTTCTCCGTCTCAAAATCATTTTCTCACGTGAAAAAGGTATAGAGTTGAAAAAAATGGAACTTTGTTCAAAGGAATGAAAAGGCTAACATCAAAAAAGCAAAGACTAAAAATCCTAAAATGGGAAAATGAAATAAAGAGAAATAAATGGAGAAGAGTTCACGTTTTAGGTCATGTTCTTTACCGTTACGTTGTAATTTCAGAGTTGGATGTTAGAAGAATGAGTTGGATGCTCTTTACAGTTGCAATTTCCATATACGAATAAATGAGTTGGATGCTCTTTAAAGTTGCAACTTTTAATAATTATTATTATTACAACCGTTATGTTCATAGCTATAGTTTATAAATTATTTTTTTCATCTCACTATTCTTACAATTCACACTCATTATTTTTTCTTCAACTTTTTAATATGAATTTTTAAGACATTTTTTTGTATATTAATCTACATGATAAATAGGAAAACATCAATATTTTAAAATATATTAAAAAATTATGGATAAAATAGTTACATAGAATGTTTTTGTTAGAATAAGAGACCAACGCTAGAGGGGGGGTGAATAGCGTTTGATCGTAGAAATCGTATGAATTAAAAATTCAAGGGAGAAGTAAAGAAAAGAGTAAGAAGCACACCGAATTTTACCCTGGTTCACCACAACTTGTGGCTAATCCAGCTTCCCGAGAGACTCTCTCGAGCTACACTACTATCTCGTTAAGCTTGCGGGTGCTTAACAAACCGTTACAACTTGAGAGTTCAAGTCACACGAACCTCAATGAATCCTTCAAAGGAAACAGCCTTTCCTTTGAATCTACCGAGAGAAGTACCTTCTCTCAAGGTGTCTAAGAACACAAATACACTCAAGAACGAGACTCTCTTATAGAGTAGATTATGAGTAAACTAAGTACGCTCAAGAACAACTCAACCTTCACACAAAATGGCTCTAGCAAGCTATGGAAAATGATGATATTTGAATGCAATGAAAGTATGAATGTTGTGAAGTGAATTGGTGAGAAAAGCAGACCCAAACACCCCTTTTTATAGTGCCAAAAAAGGCTCCAACAGACCAATGCATTAAAGGGGTGATTGGCTTGATTTAAGGGATTGAATAAATTTGGGATCTGCAGGATATTGGCTTCCCAGCGATGTATGGGCATTACCCATCGCTGGTAGGCCAATTTTCCTTCAGTTTTGAAGCCAACGGTTACCTACCCATCGATGGGTACAAGCTTCCCATCGTTGGGTGGGAGGTTGACTTCCAAACAAGGAAAGAATCAACCTTAAATGACTTCCAACGGTCATGCCTTCCCATCGATGGTTTAGCCTTCCCATCGCTGGGTTCCCATCGATGGGTAAAGCTTCCCATCGCTGGGTAAGGGCATTCTGCCTTGTGATAATATTGGGCCAAGGCTTGAACAGCGATGGGTAGAGCTTCCCATCGCTGTTTGGCATGGTTCTGGAAGTTGGTTTGGCTAAGGGGCTACTTACCCATCGATGGGAAGTTTTTGCCTTAACCACGGCCTAGCCAACCGATGCAAAAACCGACCGAAAAAAAAACAAGGTTCTCCGAAATAAAGACCAAGTGTTTAAAACACTTATTTGATGTATTTGGCTAAGAAATCAAGTGAGACACTTTAAAAATCACTTCATTTGATTAAAAACCACGGCTAGCCAAGTTTACGCCGTTTTGCGTGGTTTTTGTCAAACGACTAAAAAACGAGGGATGGTTTTCAAAGTGTTTTTGTTGGAGAACCGTTTAAACATGCCAAAGAGTGAAAGCAGATCATAAAATGCTGAAAACCACTTGGTTGGTTCGGATGCCAAAAACCAAACCCGACAACCGAAAGCCGAACGCTNTTACATTTTTCTTGCTGCTATTTTAGTCAGTGTCCTGAGAAAAAATGTGCTAAGGAGATCCATAAGAAATGGACAAAAGAAAGCAAATGATGATTCTAGATTTCCACCAGACTTGCCTATAGCCTCTTCTCATTTGAAAGGAGACTCTGAAAAAACCAAAGTCAGTCTTTAACTCATCTCCATGAATGCAACACACCCTTGCATTCCATATATATTTGTCCTTACCACCGAATTCCCAATATATCTAAATGAAGCCAAATTTGGACAGGACATATCAACGGCGAACATAATTATGTCAAACACTTTATCCTCATTGCCGTTCATGAAGAATGGTAATACCAGCTCAAAGGTGACACCGGATCCTGTGGTTTCATATAGTACCGGTGTATGTTCCTCCCAGTGTCAGGATGCGTCTGTACAAGCTACTGTCTCTCATCCACATAACACCTTTAATTCGGTTAGGGACATGCAACACTCACAAATCCAGACAATGAAACCATCAGGCTTGCGAATGCCATCACCATCACTAGGATTTTTTCGTCAGGTACGTGTACTACTATCTGAGTAGTAAATCAGCTTATTATCAAATATCAACTGATCAGATGTTATTTACAATACTAATTGCACGGGTGAGTTTTAGGAAAAAAGAAAAAAAAGTTTTTGTTTTTTAAATAAGAAGGTTTCTACTCGCAAAAGAAAAATTCTAAAAGTAATTTCAAGTTTTATGAAAAAATGTTTGAGGCATTATGTTTCCCATTTAGTCTCGCCCTACATGTTGATTTTTGTTCAACTGTTTCCTCTTAAGTGTTTGTCCGTGCCAACCCTGCATTATTATGGAATTCAAACTGCCTGATCTTTTCTTTTTGCATCTAAATGTTTTAAGTTCAGTCGGATGCTTCTGAGGCACACCGGCTATCACAGAGAAATTCAGAGTCTAGTGTTGGAAAGCTCCAAGAAATTGGTGACATGAGGTCCCTGAGTGCATTCGCAGTTCAAAGAGTCACCGGCAACACCCCAACGATGTATACCAGGGATAATGTTTGCACCGACATGGAATGCTCTGTAGCAACAAGTTCTCAACAAGCAATCAAGTCATGCTCAGGTTATGATGCTGCACTAAACAAACTGAAGACTGCCTGTGATTCTAAGAATCCCAAGCTTGTAAGTAACAAAAATGGAGATCATAATGTCTGTAGTGTTAATGGAAAAGTAAATGCCACAGAATCATGGATAAATGGTCCGGAACTTGTGGATACTGGAGATTGTGGACATGTTTCTGAAGAAGATCAAAAGATAATTGGTTCTAAAGGATGTAGAAGCTCTAGTACGTCAGATTTAGAAATTTATCAGTCTGTGTTCCAGAAAAACTGTACAACACATCCCATGGATACATTTAGAGGGGAAACACTGGTGAATAGTTCAGATGTGGTAAATATGCCGAGCAACTCTGTGATCTCATTTGAAGGTTCCTTTTCTGACTTTGGTTCAGGTAATATTCTTATGTGTGGTGGTGAGAAGACAATTTCAACTAGTCGTAAAAGTGATATGCAAGAAGTTTATTGCTCACCCGAGGAGCAATCTGATAATAACTTGTGTAGTTTTGATTTTTTGAGCCATGAATCTCAAGATTCTGAAGATCCTAATCTTGTAGGTTTATTAAATACTAAAGCAGAACCAGATTACATGGCTTTCACAGTTGAGGACTTGCACATTCTTTCTTCAGAAGAAAATATCACTTTGGAGGGAAATGATAAATCTGATTCAGAAGATTCTGTACTTCACACCTCAAAAGATGTCCTGTCTGCTCAAAGTCGCAACAGTACCCCTCATGTGGTTTTAATGGAAGATTTTCCAGCAAAACAAAGAGAGAAGTGTTCTGACTGCTTTAACAAGGAGAGTCAGACGGTTAAGCTGAATGACAGTAATTTTTTTGAAGACTATAAAAAATGTGATCTAAATGTTTCTGAGAATGTAGACCCTTGTAATGCCATCTCAGTTGATAAATTTGAACAGTCAGATGTGCCTACACTCAATTTTGCCTTGACCAGACAAGATACACGCACTGTATCTGAAGAATCAGAAAGAACCCGATACATGGGTAGTGCTCAAGAACCAAGTGATGGGGGTGGAATTGAAGCTGTAAGATCAAGTTATTTCAATGTAGAGCCAGATATGGGAGGAATTGATGCTAAAACAGATTCATCTGTTGAACCATTGGGTTTTTTAGGAAATCCTTCTATGCCTGTAGATGCCGAGCTTCTGTCAAACAAAGTGTTACTTTGTGATACAGAATTTAATGGAAAATCCGCATCTGTGAATATTGACTCATCTACACAGACAAGCAAAATGTGTATTTCAACAGCATCTACTACTCGCATGGGCCTGGTTGAAAGTGATCTGGAGTCATCAATGAGCAATCATGGAGTTTGCATGGGCCTGGTTGAAAGTGATCTGGAGTCATCAATGAGCAATCATGGAGTTTGCATGCAAGATCAGAATGTTATGGGAAATGAATCTGAAGCAAGAACCTATATGACCATCAATAGTCATGCTACTGACTTTTGTGTTGAGTTAGGCGATGCTAAATGTGTCACAAGCAATAAGAATGATGTTGTGTCAAAGTAAGTAGTAACATTTTCATTCTGGTTACCTTTCATTTTTAATTCTTTTCTGTAAATGCAGTTTATGCTTTACCTCTGTGCTCTGGATATGTAATGACCATTGGTGATTATTTTTTTTTGTTTTGTTTTCTTCTTTGAAGAAAAAGAACTGAGGATGGTAAGAAGGAAAGTTACCTCAGCTTAATACCCCCACGAAATGCAGTTCCATTTTCAGATGAATGGTTTGCTGCTATTGAAGCAGCTGGAGAGGTAAGCTCTGTAAATTGTCTAGAAACAGCGTGTTTTGCTGTAGTTTAATGTACATTTACTGGATTCAAATCATAAAAGTAAAATGTAAGCTTTCACACTTGACTGACAAATGTCATGTTTAAGTCAAATTTTTTCTTCCTATGGTTTTTAACACATTTAGAGTAATTTTTACTTTCAGTCCTACTTTACTGACATTTTTTCCTTTTGTCTCCGATTATAGTCCTGCGTATTTTGATTCATCTGTTAACCCTAAAATATGCTTAAAAGAATAAAAATATAAAAATGTTTTAGATTTTCACAAAAGGCCGGCCATTCTAGGCTGAAAATGGAGATATCAAAGTAGTATATTAAAGTACACATGTCACTATAGTTTTGGGACCAAAAGTGTAGTTTATCTCACTATTATAAATTATAATTTGAATGATATCGAAGTCAAAGATTGAAAGTATACATATCACTGTAATTTAGGGACCAAATGTGTAATTTGTTTCGCTATCAATTTTTTTTTTCAGTGCCTTAGGTGACCATCCTTTCAGTGGTAGCCGTTGATGCTTTGTTTCCCTGAAGTTTTTTTACTCTGAACTTCCATTTTGCAGGATATTTTAACAATGAAAGGAGGTGCTGTGCAGAATTCGCCCCCAGATAAATCTCTACCTGAGCCAAGTCCATGGTCACCGGTATGTCACCATTTACTTGATGAGAAGCATGTATGCCTAATGCTTTTTTGTGAATCTTCAAAATAAATACTCTGCACTTCATACACAATAAAATGTACTCTAGGCAAGACTTTTATATGCAATACTTGCTAATATAGTAATATTTGGCGAATTATAAAATCACAATTACTTTTTTTCCATAAAGGACTTGTCAATTTTCCTTTTTCGTCTATCCCTAAAAGATATGTCTGCTATGTTTGGAAAGTTTTATGTGGCTCATGGTGTTTCTCTCTCATCTACATAAATTTCAACCACTGTTGTCACTCCATTAAAGCTGTGCACAGTCAAACAAAGCACACCTTTTTGGGACGGATGGAGTATATATGAAGTTATGAACACATTATTTTGGTCAAGTGAAATGGCCTCTTCAAATCAACAAAGTAGAGGGCATTTAAGTTCAATAAGTTACATGTTTAAAAAAACATGCATATCATGATATGTTGCACAAATGTATATGTTTTGGCGGATGAACTATAAAGTAATAGAGAAAGCTTTCGTGTATCGTGTATGTTTGGGAGTTCGGTTTTGCTGTTTTTTATGGCATGGAAGGATAGCTATCTTTTATTTTTGTTCACTGCCGGACCATTTTTTTGCTACCCTTATGTTTTACAAATCACTCAAATCTTCGATCACCTAATGTTTGTCGTTTATAGAATTAGTGAGGCCATGCGAGTGACACAAGAAAGTCATTTGTTCAAGTAGTCTCCCAAACATTTCAAATCACAAAAGCATTTTGTGGTTGGAGAAATGCAATTTCAGAACACATCTTTTGACATACTCCCATCGTCCCACAAGTGGCATGAGTGGCAAGTTCAACTGCATTACTTTAAAATCAGCATTCTCCTGCATAACTATATGTTTATTGATTTACAGGTTCGACGTCACAACAATGTTGGACCTCATGATTGTACAAAGATCATGCGCAATATGGCCGGGCCTTCGGATTCCTAACTCCCAAGTAAACCAAGGTTTGAGACTCAGTATTTTGATAAGCCTAACAAGACCAACCCCATAAGAGTAGAACTGTAAAGTGTGCCTACCACATGTATAATCAATATTCTTCTACATCCTCATAGGGACCCCCTTATCTGATCTCACATTCCACAGTGACACTCCATGGGATTGAGGTTTACATTTTAGGAGTAAGATACTAAGATGTGATCCAAGTCACACCCCATCATATTTTTTCAGTAGTACTTTGTTAAGTCATTTAGGTGCATTAATAAAGCTTTTGAATGCCATTATATGTTTCTTTTGTATGTTCCTCAGCTATTAGGCTCTTTTGACATTGGTCCATTTGAGACCCCTACATTGATTTGCTCGACCCCGAAGCGATTCATACCCTAATTCCTCACCCCTAGTTTGTCTCTTGCACCCTACCCCAGGCTTTTGGTGACAATCTATCGTCAAAACTTTGACAGTAGACTATTACCTAGAGGAGGAGCAGGGCGAGGCCATGTAAGGCTAGGGTGGGGTGGGGTGTAGGGGGTGGGCTAGATGGTGGGAGTTTAGGGAGTATGAACTATAATGAGTCAAATGGAGTGCCATAGGGGACTCAAATGGACTCATTATCATAATATGACATTGGAATCCAATATCAAAAGAGCCGTAGTGCTTGCCAAATTCCATATTTACCTTGGTGCTTGGCCTATTTTGAGGGCTTCGCTTTGGATGTGGCCTAAATTCTTCTTTTAGATGTTTAATTTTTTTTTCCTTCCCAATTCATTAGAATTCTAAAGAGGTAGAATTCTTAGATTTCAAATAATGTTGAGTCTTCTTACTTGTAATCCAAATCTTTATCCATTGATTTGTCACGATGTGTGATGGATGAGGTGTAGAGGAGAATGATGTTATTTTTATTTCGATGGACGAGGTGTTGAGGAGAATAATGTCAGTTTTATTTTATCAGCTGATATTTGAAAATATTTATTAAAAAAATTCAAAGAAAAGAATATGATTTTGGATGAATAGTAAAAAGAAAGATTCAAAAAGAGATGGATGAAAGATATTATATGATCTTAATTATCTTATAAGTACTCGTATGATCATACATTGTATAGGAAATGATTTAGCTTGCAAAGTGATTTGAAGCAATATCTTGATTGATTAGTTTTATTATACAACGCATATTCGATTGATTATACGGAGTAATTTATACACGAACACAATCTTTTCATGAAATGCTTCATTAAAGATCATGAGATACTCTTCGTAAAATGGTCTAGCATTTCTTTGGAAAACAAAACTCTGGAATTTGATTGGAAAATTATACTTCCTCCGTCCCCCTAAGATGTTCTCATTTTGATTTTTAGTAATTTTTAAATAGAGTTGAAAAAAAGTGAAAGTTTACCATAATGCCCTTAATGAAAAAAAGGTGGAGTGTATTAAATGAGGTGGGTGAGGTGTAATAAATAAAGTAAGTGGGGGTAGTTGTAGTATTTTAATTGTTAAAAAATGAAATGAGAAGATTTATTATGGACAAAGAAAAAGGGCTATTGGGAAGATCTATGTAGGACGGAGGGAGTACTTCGTATTTTGAGATTGTATACGGATGAGAAAAATAATTTGTGATCACCAGATAAGAAAAGTAGGATTCCTTCAATAAATTAATATTACACTTTTTTTTGCTAAAAAACATTTTCTCAGTCCTTGAGTATTTGTCTAATTTTAATTTTTTCCAGTAAATCATACCCCCTCCGTCCTGGAGTATTAATTTATTTTTGACTTTTTTTGTTAAAATTGGTAAACTTTGACTTTAAATTAAATAAAAATGATATTAGATATTGATATAGAAATAGTTTTATTAGATTTATTATATAAAATATTTTCAAAATATTATTTTATCTAATTATAATACAATATATTTTATTTATTTTATCTAATTATAATACAATATATATTTTATTTAATTATAGGTCAAAGATTTAAAACGGTTGATTAAAAAAAGTCAAAATTGGACCAATACTCCGGGACATTATTAAATCTAATATTTTGAAAATATTTTATATATTAAATCTAAATAATATTTTTGAATCAATATCTAATACCATTTTTATTTAAAAATTTTGTCAATTTTGACCAAAAAAGTTAAAAATGGACAAATATTTATATATGAAATGGTAAGATTACTTGAATAAGAATTTTCTTTTTGATTTTTTTAAGAGGAATTGAAGAACTTAACCAAGATCTCTATAGTATTTGACAGTAAAACCCTTTGGTTTTATAGTATTTTTTTCTTTCCTATAAAGATATTTTTATTTGATTTCTTAAATTTTAGATGTTTCGATCATAAGTCGAGAAAAAAAAGCATATTTAAACAAAGTATAAATGTAATAGAGTAATGCTAAAGTCACAAACAAACAGTTCACAAAATTTACAAGCTTGCCTTTTTAACACTTTCTTATAAATAAGATGCACTCAAATAATAAAAGATATTTCATTTTAAAATCCACAAAAGGCAAGTTTGTGAAATTTGTGAACTATATGTTTGTGACTCTAGCATTTTCCAATGTAATACGGAGTATTCCTTTAAGAAAAAAGGAGTATAATTAAGCTCATTTTAAGGTGTTGTTTTAATATATTATTTTTTTATGCTCCCTGTTTCCCAATTTACTTAGTCTATTCACTCTTTACACGCTTCATTGTTTTCTGCTTGCTTTGTTATTTTTGTTACTCGATAAAATAATTCTTTCAAAGTATTTTTCTGTTTTGACTTTTAATAATATTATTTATTTGTAAAACATAATTTTATAGTAATTGTTAATTAATAATACTAATAGAGTTTAACATATAATTGTCACTTTAGTTATAATTATAAGTAATAATGATAATCATCATCATTAATCATAACATTAATAATAATAATAATAATAACAAATATAAGTATTAAAATAATAATGATAATGATAATAAAAAATATTAATAGTTAATTATAATTATTAATAATAAAAAATTATTTTTGTAAATAATAATAATGAATACTGCGTAATAAAATATTACTTTCTCTGTCCCTAAAAGATCTTCTCCTTTCATTTTTTTGTAGATCCCAAACGTTGTCCCCTTATCTATTAAAAAACTACTTTTATCTCTTACTTTTTCATACCCTACCTATCACTTTTACCCATTACTAATAATCTTTTCATCATATCTTACTTTTATCCATCACATCAAGTGTATTTTTGAAAAGTCAACACAAAAATATATCTCCCTTAATTTTTTAAAAAATCAATAAGGGAAACCCTTTCAGGGACAGAGGGAGTATTATTGTTTGAATTTGAATTAGATCCATTCAGATTAAATCAGATCAGATCAATCTTAAAAAATTAAGTCCAGATCAGATCAACCAAAGAGAATGCAGCCTAAGTGTGGATCACTTATCTAATTCTTTTTATAGAATGTATATTTATTTTGGAACAACCTAAAAAAAGGTACGGAGTAAAAAATTTGTTTTGGGACCAATCCTTTTTTCATAGATCTAGTGTGATCGCAATAGATATCCCAAAAGCTAGGCCCATCATCATGTAGGAATTCGTACCCGAACCGGAAGCTCCAATAGGCAATAGCCCTTACTTCAGCTGCAATCAAAATCCCCAAATCACTCACTCGCTCTATCTCTCTCTCCTTTGTTTGGGTTTTTTGTGCTCTCATCTTCTTCCCCTCTACCTTTTTGCGATTCAGTGAATCACTGTAAGGTCAAATCACTGTTTTAGGGTTTTCTTCGAACCCCACTCACTACAAGAGATCGCTTTAGTTCGGGAATCTCAGGGGGGGTAAAATGCAGCAGCAGCCGCAGCAAACCCCGGCTCTCAACTCCGTCCCTCAGCTCCCACTTAATGCTGTCACCACTGAGCAGATTCAAAAGGTATTTTCTTTCGAGATGCTACTAATCGAACAAGCTATTGCGGATGGATCTAATACGCGCTTACATTTCTTGTGCTATCTGAAGAGGAAATGAACAGTTTTATGCATTTCTTTGGTCATTTGGGTGTCTTATTTGAAAACTGGAAGTAAATGATTCATTGTTACATTCATCAGCATACTTTTATTGATACAGTGTTTGGATGATAACAAAAATCTGATTTTGGCAATACTAGAAAATCAAAACCTTGGAAAGCTCGCGGAGTGTGCACAGTAAGTTTTTGATTTTTCCCTTTGAAGATTCAGTATTTCCAGTTGCATTTTGTGTTTATATGTGACTGTTACCTTTTTTAGTATCGTCTATTTGTTGTTATACTCCGTAAAAAGTTACTGCATAGAGAAGCTTAGGTGAATATAAGGCTAAGTGCTTAGTATGAATGGGCTAGCGAGGCTTATGCCTTGAAGGTCTTTTTGGATTGAGGTGAACCCTGGTGAATCTATGCTAAGGTTTTTCTTAGGCTTATTTGATTTATTGACCTTCAGTTCACCTCATTTTCATTACCCAAAAATTAGGGGGACATAGGGAAATAGTTAAAGGATCACTCAGGTGATTACGCCTTTCTTAACCTAGTTTATTTATGAAGTTTATCCTAAAATTGGATCTCCTAAATCCAAATGGGGTGTGAGACTTGTCTCAAAGTGAAGCTATAGAAGCTTAATGTTACCCAGTACCCACGTGAGGCATATGTGTAGTGAACCGTATAATGCTTCTGCCTTAAGTTCTCTGTATTAAGTATTTGTTGACCATACCTTTCTCGGCCTTTTGGCTAAGATCAAGTGTAGTATCTGTTCTTATCAGTTTAATATCTGATATGTGGGCCATTGGCCCACACAATATTAACTCTATTTTTTTTAGGGGAGAGGCCCGTCTAGGCAGCTTGCTGTCTTGGGCTTCTATGCATCGTCTTTGTGTTGCATTACTGCATTGGCCCGGCGCACCCCACTAAAAAAAAGTATTTGTTGACCATGACCATTTTACACGCAAAATTTGTTTTTAAGGATATTTAACCCAACAAACCTTGCTTTTCACTACATGATGTTGTATACTTGTATGCTTTCACTTTATTCCTTAAAAACAAATTAATTAAATTGAAAACGTTGTAATTTAGATGTGTGTTGTCTACCCAACATTATTTTCTTGCTCTCTACTCGATTTTTCTCTTCTTTAATCATATTAAAGCTTCCAAAAGTAATGACTAGCTTTGTTCTTCAATTCGACTTCTTGTTCATCCTTGCTCATGTGTGAGAGAGATCACTTAGATACAACAACAACAACATTACTCTAGTGTCTCAAAGGTTCCCGCCCATTGCGGGGTATGGGGGTCGGATGTACGGAGTCTAACCCGTATGTTTAAAACATAGAGCGGTTGGCCCATGATGAGCGTCAAAAGTTGTATTGACTAACTGCTACTTCACTCACTATTGAAAGAAGTGCAGACAATTTAAAAAGCCATTTTGCTTTATTCCATCATACTCAAAGCCAAAAAAGAATGAATCTTTGGCACCATCAGAGATGATGGGAAGGGGAGAGATCACTTAGATATTTGATATTTCTTGTCATGCAACTAAAACTATTATTATTGTGATTAATTAGGTCATATTTATTTTAGAATAATACTCTAGTGAATTCCACATTTTCCACACGCTTAAATGAAATATATGATTCTTTTGAAAAAAAATAATACTTATAAGGCTTTTTTCATCAATTATCCTCTAGGCATATGGCTCATGAGGCTAAAGCAAAGTGTGTGAATGCCCACTTTAACTTTATAAGGTTCCACCTACAGTTAACAATGATCGACTCAAGCTATTCACCATCTATTCACAAATTAGTTTAGAATTTAAAAATATATTTTATATATTTAAAAGTACTTGGTTCTTTTTCATTCATTGACATTTGATTTATACATGAGCAAAATGTGATTGTGTGGGGACTTGTCTAGATATGAATTTTTGTTTTTTTAGTTAATATCAATTATTTTTTTACAATTTTGCCAATTTATAACTGAAGATATCAATGATTTAATTTATCTGTTGGCAAACATGGAATTTGTTTTGTTGCACTTATTAATGAATGGAGGAAGTTCATCATAACTTTTAAATTACTACAGGACAATATGTGACTTGACTATTTTGTTTATCGAATCATCATTTAAAATATCCAATGAAAGAAGATATAGTTTCACCCATGTGAATAGTGTAAAGTGGAACCTTATTTTGAGACGGAGGGAGGAGTATTTAGGTTCAATCCAGCATCAAGGATGGATGGGTTCTTCTGCTTGTTTGCCAAAGTAGGGATCTTTCATTCTCTGTGTTCAATTAAGTTTCAAAAGATTATAGTAAGAAGATTGTGTGCACGATTGCAATAGGGTGTATAAGGAAATGTCATTGATTGACTGGTGGCTCAAATTTTTTGTATGAAATATTGAAATGCGCTAGGTATCAAGCCATCCTTCAGAAGAATCTGATGTATTTAGCTGCGATTGCTGATGCACAACAACCGCCACAAGGATCAGTGAGCTCACAACAGCAGCAACCGGTGTGTGGTTTAAACTTTAAGCCTTGTTTTTCTTGGGTTGGAAAAATTAACTTGCAACTTCTTCCATTTTCATCCAACACCTTCCAGTTCCTTCCAACGACTTAAAAAATAGGTGTTTATATATCCAAATTTATAATATACCACCTCAAACACGGGCAAGGATGAGTTCTTTTTTTTATCCAAGATCAGAGTTTTTTTTTACATATTTATTAGGATGATCATTTAATTGAGTGACTTTTTAACAGTTTAATTCTTCCAACATTTTTTACCTCCTTCGAGTTTTTTTTCAACTTCTTCCAGTTTCTTCCAACATCGAACTCTGAAATTCCAACCCAAAAGAACAGAGCCTAAATGCGATTACTGGATATCTTTTTTCTTTCTTTCTTTCTTTCTTTTATTCTTTATGATAGCTTCATAGTGGTTTTCAGCAGGTGGGGGTGGTCCAAAGCCCTACTCAACAAATGCCAAAAACCCAAGCCACTAGTCTTCAGCAGCAACAAGTACCACCAAAGATGCCTTTCCAGCAGCAGCAGCAGCCCAATAATGGCAGTGGTTTCCCATCCCAAGAGCAGCAACAGCAGCAGATGCTCCAGTTTCATCAGCAGCAACAGCAATTCCAAGGCCACCAGGTGGTCAACAATGCCGCCGCCCCCGCCATCCACCACCAACTCATGCGGCCCGCCCCCGCCAATGGCTTGGAAGCTAACAGTGATGGACTCAACACCAAATTGCCTCCCGGGCAAGGCGGCAGCGGCGGAAGGGGGGAATGAGTAGTAGTAGTAGTAATAATAATAATAATAATAATAATAATAATAGTAATGAGCTTTCTGAGTAGTTATTGTACTGACTGACGTCAATCAAGTGTACTACTAGTCAAAACAAGTTTGGTTTGTATTCATGACGAGGAGGTTTCAACTCTCTTTAACCCATTATGGTGATATTAAAACATTTACACTGTGTTTGGTTATGGAATTTTGGTTCAAGGAGAAATCAAAGGAAATGTTACTATTTTGAGTATTTGTCTAGTTTTGTCTTTTTATAATCAACTATTTATAACTTTTAACCTATAAATATATAAAATATATATAACAACAACAACAACAACCCAGTTGAATCCCACTACAGTAGGGTATGAGGAGGGTGTGTGTACGCAGACCTTGTCCCTACTTGGGAGTAGGGAGGCTGATTCCAAGAGACCCCCGGCTCAACTTGCACAAAAATATGGAAGGGAACACAGTATAACACGGGTAAAGAGCCAAGTACAAGCAACAAGTACAAGCAATAGCAAAAGAATCCAAACAAACACAACATACTACAAACAACCTCTACAGCACCGAGCTCTTATCCAGCTACTCTAATCCTAGTTCTCCAAAGGTTCCTATCTAAGGTCATATTCACAGGTGAGGATTCCTAAATCCTGCCTAATCACCTCCCTCCAATTTATATAAAATATATATGATATATTAATTAGATAAAATAATACTCTTTTCGTCCAACAATAATGTTCTAATTGGGTATTACGATGTTTAACTAGCATTATTTTAATTTATTTTATATAAAGAATCGTATGAAATTAAAAAATAAAAAATTACATATTTAAAAACTACATGAAAAAATCTATAAAATTAGAGGTTATATGACTATTATTTTATCAAATGGGCAACAAAAGTACCACAATAAAGTGAATGAGAACATTTTTGTTCGACGGATGAGGTATTTTATAAGTATTTTATAAATATACTTCATTAAATTATTTTTGTATCAATATCTAATACTCCCTCCGTCCCTAAATAAACTTTCCTTTTTGACTTATTGAGAATTTAAGGGAGTGATATTTTTGTGTTGATTTTCCAAAAATACCTTTGATGTGATGCGTAAAAGTAAGATGTGATATGTAGATTATTAGTAAAAAGGTATGATGTGATAGGTAGGGTATGAAAAAATAAGGGGTAAAAGGGGTTTTTTAAGGGAAAAGAGAAATTTATTTGGGGACAAAGAAAAAACAAAAGGGGAAGTTTATTTAGGGACGGAGGGAGTATTACTTTTATTTAATTCGTGGTCAAAATTTGCCAACTCTGACCAAAAAAAGTTAAAAGTAGGCAAAATTTAGGGGTGGAGGTAGTATGTAAAACAAGTTTTTTTTCGTTTGGCTAGAGAAGAAAAAAAAGTAGAGTAAATTTCATAAACGGTTCCTAGTTATAGGTAGTTTTCTATATTAAGTCCCTATTTATCAAATATTGCAAGCGTAGTCCCTACTTCTTTGGTTCTTTTCCACGACCAGTCCTCTGTCACTTCTACTATTATCTACCTGTTCAATGTAGGGTTGAAGCGGTAATTTCTCGCACCAGTCTCTCAATTAAATTATCCCTCCCTGCATCCTAATCCATCCTTTGTCTTCATCACAAAATCATAGAGCCCCAAAGTTACTGTCTTCGTCGTACATAACAATTTGAATGATGTACACTAATCATGCAAAGAAAGCCATATATGAGGAGGGTTGGTAAGGTCTTTAATCGAGAGATGGAGGTGAAAAATTGTTTTTTTAATGTCGTAGTTAACAGGTAGACAACATGAGTGACGAAGGACTGAATGTGTAAAGGAACCAAAGAAAAGGGGACTACGTTGGTATTATTTGATAAGTAAGGACTAAATATAGAAAACTACGGAGTACGTATTAGTCGGGACCATTTACGTAATTTACTCAAAAAAGTAATATAGGGGTGAACACCAAGCTTTATTGAAATCAAAATACTATGGAGTACAATAATTGATGACTATTCCGCGTTAGCTCGCAATAATCACAAACTTCAATAATAACGGGAGATGTTACAGTTCACTATTTAAAAATTACGAAAACTTTTATTTATTTATTTGACTTCAACGATTATTTGTTAAGATAAAATAGTATTATAACCTTTTATTTTGAAGCAATTTTTTAAATCATGTGTACTTTCATAAAAATATATACTTCATCCCATAAAAAAATCATAATTCGTTTTCATTGTCACAAAAAAAAAATTAACTTCCACATTTGAAAATAATTTTGCGTCTTTTATACTTTCTCTCTTATTTGCATTATTTTAAACCAGACAACTTTGGTTTTCTTAATTTTCGTGTCAAGTTAAAAGTAAAACTTTTTTTATAGGAATGAAGCATCAAAGAGCAATTAAATGTAGAAAACATGTTGACAAATAATTGAGGTATTTTTCTCAAAGAGCTGTGGAATTCCTTTTACTCCGAGGTATATTTTTTTATGAACTCGTAATTGGATATTTTTCATTTTACAAGACCAATAAATCTAACCATTCAAGGATTTTCTCCCATAATCTTAAGGTCCACATATGATATGTCAGCTTTCTCAAACTTTTAATAGACTAAAATATTATTTTTTTTCATTTTTTTAAATAAAATATCAAATTTTTTATGATACCAATGCACTAAAATCTATTAAATAAATATAAACTTTAAGATCACGTAAGAATATATCAACTATTTTATGTATTAAGATCCATTATATAAGTATACCTAAAGACGACCAAAGAATTTGCCATTTTTTAAAATATGCTTCTCCCTCCGTCCTTAAACTTTCTTCCCAAAGCACTATTCCAACTTCACGGGAATTTATATTTATTTGTGTTTTTTCATGGCCTATATGATAAAATAAAATATTCTTGTCACCACTTGTTTTGTTGAACTTTTGATGTAGTTTTTAAATATGTATATTTTATTTTTTTATTTCTATACCAATATTTAAATAAAATAGATTGAAAAAACTTAGAATTTTTCTTCGTTTTGCGCAACGGGAAGAAAGATATAGGACGGAAGGAGTATCACTTTCAAAATAGTATGGAGTAATTGAAATTCCTATGTAGTACTCCGTAATAATCTTTTTAAAACCCACAAAAATATGTTAATACCAAAAAAAGAAATATTCATATAAATTCCTAATCCAATACACCACCAAATGATCCTAACTGGGAAAAATCCCAGCCGTTATCGTCTCTGCCACCGACGTGTGCGATCGCAATAGAAGATCTCAAAAGCCCGGGCCCATCAAGGAATTCGTGCCCGAACCGGAAGCTCCAATACCCCCTTATTTCTCCTGCAATCAAAATCCCCAAATCTCTCTCTCTCTCTCTCTCTCTCTCTCTAGCTCTCCATCTCCTGCGTTGGGTTTTTTGTGCCTCTCAATCTTCTTCTTCGGCTCTATCTATTTTCTTCTCCCTTTCTCTGCGATCCAGTGAATCACTGTAAGGCCGAATCTCAAACCCTAATTCGCTCATTGTTTTATTTCTTTCTAGATCCTTGTATCGATTACTAACAATATTGAATGAGTTTTTTTTTAAAAAAGTCATACATGCATCGTTCATGCGCTGTGCATATGCTTGTCTGTTGTGTTGTGTTTGATCTAGATTCTCGTTTGACTTGCATTTTTTGATTTTACAAAAAGGCAATGGATTTCTGTTTTGGTGTTTTGATTTTTGTTTGTTTGTTTGAGGTGAATTTGGTTTCCGATCAATTTGATCGTATTTATATGTTTAGTCCGATTAATTTCCTTGATCAGTATGTTGAATGGCCTTTAAATTGGCAAATGATTGTAGTGTTTGACTTTAGATTTGTTTTTATCACAAGTGATCCTTGTTGTGACTGGAATTCAGATCATTTTTTCGACATACTGAGATTTTATGCATAACTGTTTGTATTTCCTTAACTATAGAATTCAGAATTTGAATCGGTTGAATGCATGTACAAATAGTGCATTTAAAAAACAATAATGTAGTTTAGAAGCAATTTTACTGTTTTTTCATTGGTGGATTTTTTTTCCCAAGCCATACTTCTTTGCTATAATTCATTAGAATTTTTGACTTACTGTGTTTTGCTCATTGCAAAGGAAACCATGAGCGACCAAGGAGAAAAGACCTGTCCTCTCTGTGCCGAGGAGATGGACTTGACAGATCAGCAACTGAAACCATGCAAGTGTGGTTATGAGGTTTTAAATATTTCTCTTCAATTTTCTCTATTCAATGTTGCATAAATCTATAGTTGGTCTTTGGGTGGATCACCCTCACCTAGTTCATAAGCCCACCGCCTGGTGCCTTGATGGTTACTTGGTTATATGTTTGCTCCCTAGGCGGCCTAAGTGGATGTCTAACCTTCCTAGTTCACCTTTCTAGCTCATACACTTAGGCTGCGTAAATGTTTTATTATAATGCATTTTGGTATTTATATGGTCTATAGGTAAATTTTGTTAATCTGAACATTCATTTTGTTATAACACAAATACACAATTAAGGTTTGTCCATTTGCTTTTCCCCCCTCAATAACTATGCCATCCAAGAGGAGCAACAACAACAATCCAGTTGAATCCGGCGAGAGTAGGGTCGGGGGGAGGTGTGTGTCCGCAGCAGACCTTACCCCTACTCTAAAGTAGGGAGATTGTTTCCAAGAAACCCCAGCTCAAGTAACCCAGATAGCACAAGATCATAGAAAACAAATAAAGGGGAAGAAACGTCAAGCAGAGATAGCACCGAGCACAAAGAAGCAAAGAATAAACTAAATAATAACGAAGGGAAAACACAACAAACAGAAAGCACAAAGCATAACCAGCACACAACAAGTGCAAAAACTACCACACCCATCCAAGAGGGGAAAAATTCATTATTAGATATTGTTCTTATTTCTGTAATAGGATAATTTTCATTTGAGTTGGCACTTTTGAGGTCTATGATTTTTTATTTGAATTAAATTTCAGGTTTACAATGCTTTATGGATTTTTTTTGAACTACGCTTGAGGTTTACAATGTTTTATGGTTTTTAGAATATTAGTGTGTGGGTTGTGCAGATATGTGTTTGGTGCTGGCATCATATTATGGATATGGCAGAGAAGGATGAGTCGGAAGGCAGGTGCCCAGCATGTCGCACTCCTTATAACAAGGAAAAGATTGTTGGCACAGCTCCCAACCGTGAAAAGTATGACCCTCAAAAATACTCTATAGAGTGAATCTATGAAAGTGTAAGATTCTGTATTCATATTTGTGATTGTCACAACAGGATAGTTGCTGAGATGAGTTTTGAGAAAAAGATGAAGTCTCACAAGGGAAAAAGCAAAACATTGGAGTCGAGGAAGCAACTTTGTAGTGTACGAGTAATCCAAAGGAATCTAGTCTACATTGTGGGATTACCTCTTAATTTAGCAGATGAAGATGTATGTATTTTTTTAAAAATACAGATGTACTCTAAGTTATGCTCATTACCTTACACCTACCTCTCCTACGTGCAAACAGATTTTACAGCACAAGGAATATTTTGGTCAGTATGGGAAGGTTTTGAAGGTATCTATATCCCGGACAGCTGCGGGTTCCATTCAACAATTTCCAAATAATACATGCAGTGTGTAAGTTTGATCTGCTGGGGTGTTGTAATATAATAACCATTCTGCTTGAGAATGGTGAATATACAGTTATACACACACGCACACACACAGTCATAAAATCATTTTTATAATTTCTAGAAAAACATAGTTGAAGATATTAATGATTTAATTTGATAAATGGTAAGCGTGAAAAAAAGGAAATGTTGTGAAACAGCCTCTCTACTCTGTTGTTGCTGCTGCTGTTGTCGTTGTGTGTGTAGTGTGTGCCTGCACACACATGTGTGTCGCTTTAAATGATATGCACGTAATGAGTAGTTATTTTCTGGGATCCAAATTGTTTACTTTTGTTAAAATTTTGAGTTATTTTCTTCTGATTATGATCTCCCTCCTCTGGCTAGATATATCACATATTCAAAGGAGGATGAAGCAGTTCGTTGTATTCAATCTGTACATGGATTTTTCTTGGATGGCAGACCTCTAAAGTGATTACAACCTTCACTTCAGCATTTCATTATGTTCATTATTTTTGGTGTTTGGATCTAATTCTGACTGATTCTGCTCCTCTGAGAATGTTTTGGATGGCTGAGAATTGAGCTCACATCTTTGGGCTCCCAGCCTGTTTTGGAGCAGTGGGGACATGCTTCTCCAAAACTGATTGATATTCTAATACAGTTCTTTTCCCCCAAAATGCCATCTTGAAAAAATGACTACTCTTGCACAATATTAACTCAAAGTGTACCCTTTTGGTCATTTTACACAAGAATCAATGTTTAATGTTAGTCTTTCTAAACACTCAAAGAAATTGTGTTTCATACAACTGAAGCAATGCCAAACACTAAAAGAGACCTTTTTCTCATTTAACAAAACTTTCAAAATATGAGTGCAAACATCCCATTTAATGACAGTTCATTACTAAAATGAATTTGTTTTGTGCAGAGCATGCTATGGAACAACAAAATACTGTCATGCTTGGCTTAGAAATGCGGTATAATCTTCAAAAGAATTAGAAAATTGTTAAGGAGTTGTTATCTGAATTTGGTTGCTTTCTTATGTATTTATTTGTCTTGTTTTGGATATTTTTTTTAATTTTCCCTATTGTTTTTCCAGCCTTGCACCAATCCTGATTGTTTGTACTTGCATGAGATTGGGTCTGAAGAAGATAGCTTTAGTAAGGATGAAATAGTATCAGCTTATACAAGGTACACAACTACATACTATATATAAGGCCAAACTATATTTTCTTTCTTTACACAATTTCATTTTTCGTTTGATAAAATAAAATAGTCAAGGCACCACTTATTTTGTAGTACTTTTGATTTAGTTTTTAAATATGGAATTTAATTGTTTTATTCTACACCAATTTTCAAATATATTGAAATTTGCAAGGTTGAAACTTTTGATATAGTTTTTAAAAATAGAATTTTCATTTCTGTATACAATGTTTGCCTGTTCAGATTTCATTGTTTTTCGGTACTAAGCTACTTACATTTTGCTCTTTTATTTGTTTCATGACTATGCTTCTTATCAGAATAAGCCCAGCTTTACCGCCCCCCCGCCCCCCCACACTGCCTCTCCAGATTTTGTTGTTGGTTCTGAGCTNCTTTAGGATGCTATTTGATAAAATGAGCTGAGCTTCATTCTAGTTTTTCTCAAGTGGCTGGGAATTAACATCCATAATATTTTACAGGAATAGAGTCCAACAAATTACGGGTGTCTCAAATACTGCACAAAGGCGATCAGGGACAATTTTGCCACCACCAGCTGACAATTATTGCAATAACTTTGCTTCTACTGCAAAACCTATCAGTAAAACCACCACAAATGTAAGTTTTCTGCTGTCGTGCAACGAGGTTTTGTCTGTTCTTGTGGGGAAGGCATGATGATACTCTTTTCCTCATATCAACTATATGAATATCTATTGTCCTACTCTATTGTTGCATACTTGCATATGTAGTTTAAGAGTTTCTTCACTGATCTTCTAAAATACATTTCTTGACCAACTTGTCATGTTGATTGGTAATGCACATAATGACATAATGCTGCTTACATTTTATTTTTTTCCAGAATTCTGCAACCCCAATAATAGTATCACCTCCGAATACTAGTTCTGGTAGATCTGCTGCTCTTCCTGCTGGTGCATCATGGCATGATTTCTCATCTCATTTGGCTTTCATGTCTTGTTATTTTCTACTAGATGTATTTACACACTAATATATCACTTTTCCAGGGGGACGCGTGCCTTGAATAATCAACCACCTCCTGCAAGCTCACCATATTCAAATGGACCTAAACCTGAAATGTCCAACAGTTCGTCGTCATTCTCTGCAGCGGTTGCAAGTACTGGTCAGAGTTCATTGCATGCTGCTGACAGAGATAAGCAGCTCGCTCATGTTGATCAAAGCAGCAATAATAAAAAACGGAGCAAAGTAGGAACTCCAAAACCTCCCATGCTGCAGCATGTAGAAGTAGATGATCAAGTCTGTGTTACAAAGACGACCCTACCCTCACCAGTTCCACCCCTACACAGTCACAATGCTGCCAGGGAAAAGGATAGGCATACACCTAGATGTTCTGTTGATTGTGAATCAGTGTCACATAGACCTGATACGGAAAAAAATGCACCACAAGCTCCAGGTCATAATAGACCTGATACTTCAAAAAATATAGCTGAAGCTCCGGTTCAAAATAGACCTGATTCTGCAAAAAACATAGCTGAAGCTCCGGGTCAGGAAATTGATAAGTTACAAGCGAACATATCATCATTAAGCATTGATAGACATAAATCTTCTCCATTGCTCAGCTATGCCCATTCTAGGGATCCTTTAGCATCTGAGGGTAAAGCCACAATACATGCTGATGAGAGTTGCACAGAAAATGACAAGTCGGACTCAAGAGTTGATTTGAAAATGCAGGTTGTTGTTACTCATGAAGGTGGTGATGGTATTCCCGACAGTGGCCACATCCAAAATCCATCACTACCTTTACATTCTTCAACTTGTTCTCCTTTTCTCAGCAACAGTATTGGGTCTGTTGATACCGATATGCATATTGTAGATAGGAAATGTGATTCATTATTACAGCCTTCAAGTTCAGACAAGTTACGTAATCGATATAGTGAGGACGTAGTTAACAATTCTGCTGATTTTGGAAACCCCAACAAAGGTTCCAGTTCATTGTCACCCGCAGATCAGAGGAAGTTTGCGAACACTTCTGAAGGCGTAACCACAACTGCTGACATGGGAGAGAGTAGCATAATTTCAAATATCTTGTCACTGGATTTTGATCCATGGGATGCACCTTTAACTTCACCTCAGAATCTGGCCAAGTTGTTGGGGGATTCTGATAAACAACAGCCCAGTCTTATTCTATCAAATTCATTAAAGTTACACACGAGTAATGAGTCAAGGTTCTCTTTTGCCAGGGAGGAGAGATCTATAAAACAAGCATCAGAGCTTGAACCATCTTTAGGTCATATGCAACAGTCTTTTCATCATCCTTTAAACCAAGACTTGTCCAGTACCCGAAGCTTTCAAGATAACCCTGGTCTTCAAAGTGGTTTCTCTCTTATCCACAATGAGGATAATGGATCTGTCAGCAGTTATCCTACCTTTTTATCTAACAATATGTCAGGTTGGTTATTTCCTTCCCTATCGATATTGATGTTAGTATATTCCTCTTATCTCTTTCTTTAATCATGGGTACGCCAAGCTGGTTGGTAGGAACCTGCTGTTTGCTGATGAAAGTTATCTATTTTCCTCAAGTAATTGTGATGAAGGGTGGCTTTTCATAATTGTACTTTTATGCAAGCCTTGTGTAATCAAATCAAGGAAAATTTCAAACCAATTTATTGTAGACATTATTTAATCTAATCACTCCCCTTATTATCCACTTTGCCATTTTTTTTCATTTCAATAATTTTCATTACAACATTCTGAAAACAGCATCAAGACCTCAGATGTCTGCCCCACCTGGATTTTCAGCACCTAACAGAGCACCCCCTCCAGGGTTTTCTTCTCATGAAAGAGTGGAGCATAATTTTAGTTCTGTCTCGGGTTAGTAATTTGTTCTTCAAAATTTTCATTTCACACCCCAATTGATTGACATTTGAAAAAGCATAGTTAATGATACAAATTCTGGATATATTAGTTATCAATGTCATGGTGCCTGTTTTTGGCAGGGAATCAATTGCTGGATTCTGCAGTGTTACAGAATCAGTATCAGAATCCACCTGGAAATATGGTGGTGGATAATGATGGTATTGAGTTGATGGATCCTGCAATTTTGGCAGTTGTTACAGAGAAGGTTCCTATTCCTAGTGGTCTTAATTCCTCAATAGGATTACTTTTGGGTCAAAATTTTCATACTCAGCAAATGAATACTTTTGAAAATGAGCTGAGGCTTCAGTTATTAATGCAACGTTCTCTACCTCCAACACATCAGAACCAGAGGATAGGGGAAGGGCCGGGTAACTTTTTGCCCTTTCATGAAGCTTATGGTATTCCTCAAAGAGGAGCTGGCGGGGAACAAGTAATGTCTGGCAATATTTCTCCGTTCTCACAATTCAGTAATCCACAATCTAGAGCCCCTGTTATTTCAAATGTCCATTGGGATGTGTGGAATGGGGTCAATAATGGTAATGATTTGGGCATGGCTGAGCTTTTTCGCACAGAAAGGATGGGGCTTAACAATGTCTGCCCTGGGGGATATGAAGATGCCAAGTTCTGTGCCCCTGGTTCTGGAAATTTCTATAATAGACCGTTTGGTATCTAAGTGCTTGCTCGCTACGAGGTTCTTCTGGCATTTATAAAAAATGTGTAACAAACGAGTGAAATGTCTTTTCTGACCCTGACGGATAAAATGGCATAGACAGCTCTCTGAGTGTGCTGCAGTACACAGAATAACCGAATCTGCTGCATTTGTGACTTGTATGGCAGAATTGCACCCACAATGATGGGAATGCTCTTTGACTACTGTCTGAGCTACTTTCAGATTTGGTGTAAGGATCCATCCCTTTCTCCAGGTTTGGTCAGAAACCAAGAGGTCAGTACATATTCCACCTAGCAATGTTCAAATGTTCAGCCCTGCTTTATTTTTAAGGCCCTCTAAACAAAGTCGGCACATTTGAACATTAATCGAGGGGTTCCTTTTAGGCACACATGATCAAATTCCCCCAACACTAAATTCTGAGGATCAGAATTACACCGATGTGTCTAAAAATAAAATTGTACAATCCGAAGCTGCATAATAGTACCTCTTACAATGAATGCTTGTCAGGTGAAAGAAGCTGAGATTCAGGCTCATGACAAAGTTTGACTTGGAAATATGGCTCGGTCCTGTGGGGGGCAACATGCGATTTTCAGTTTGGGTGTGATCTTTGATCAGGGCGGAGAGCAAAGAGATAGAGAGAGAGCCACACCAGGTTTTATCAATATATCTGTCTTTTGCTCATCTGTATGGTAAGTACATGATTACTTGGAAAGACCTGAATAAAAAATTGAAAATTATGTTTTTTTTCATTTTCCTGCTATTTCTTTTGCCACAGTAAAAATATGTGGAAGAAATACATTGTTTTATAATTTCAACTTGCCATCATTTGATTCATCTTGAAATGCATTGGAGTAGGTATTATTATTGAAAATTTTGTTTATGTACAAAATACTATCCGGGTAGTACATATTAACGGTCAATTTTTCTTTGGAGAAAGTAAAATGTCAAATGGAAGGCTAGTTACGAATGTGAAAGGTTGTACACTTGTCATTTTTTGCAGAATTATTATTTGTATTTATAGACCTGCAAGTCATGGACTTGAAGAATCTTGGATAGTTGTTAGTAGTTAGTACATATTGTACAATTTCCCTTTATAGAAATACTAAGCGTCTGTTTGGTACACGGAATTGAATTGATAGTTGAAATTCTATAAAAGGTTGTACACATGTCATTTTAGGCACTACTAATTTTAAATTTATTTATTTTTTGTGCTACCAAATAGCAAAAAAACAATTCCAATTCTATAGTTTGAATTTCGTGTACCAAATTCAACCTGAAGAGTGTTAAAGTACTCTCATTTTTAATTTTATTTTTAACGATACGCTAATATTGAAATCAAAATTTATCTTTGGTCTGAACAGTGTAAACTTTGCAATGAGTTTATTTGCTCGAAACATAATTAATTTGTCAAATGTGTTGCTCTCTGCTATGCGTAAGCAAAAGCTAAGACAATTTATAAAGAAAGTTCACTCAGAAAAAAGATACGATGCAATAAATGCAATATTCCAATTTAAATGGTCTATTTTGGTTTATGATATTTGATTGAAATTATTTTTAAATCATTTTATTTTTAAAATGGTATAAAATTAAAAAATAGAAATTACATAGTTTAAAATCACATCAAAAATTTACATAACTAGTGGTATAAATATATTATTTTATAAATGATTAATGAAAATAAGGAAAAATTGTGAATGAGTTTGGTTCTATGAATAATAAATAGATAAAATAATTTGGGACGGAGGGAATACTTTGTAGTAAAAAAATCATCAAAAAATACATAAAAATAAATTGCAATTTTCAAAACTAGTGGTATAAATATATTATTTTATAAATGATTAATGAAAATAAGGAAAAATTGTGAATGAGTTTGGTGCTATGAATAATAAATAGATAATTTAATTCATATAAATAGGAAATACTCCGTAGTAAAAAATCATCAAAAAATTCATATAAATAAATTGCAATTTTCACCTTAAACTGTTGCATTTTTTTTAATTTTTTTATTTGTGATGGGAAGACTGAATTGCGATGATGGGTATTGATGGGTGAAAGATAATTTGCGTACGAACATATTCGATTAGGTGCTCGTAGCAGCTTTGTTGCTTGGCTTGGTATTTTAAAAAGATTATTATCCTTATTATTATTATTATATTTTATTATTATTATTATTATTATTATTATTATTATTATTATTATTATTATTATTATTATTATTATTATTATTATTATTATTATTATTATTATTATGAGGAATTTACTTAAATAACATTAAAACATAATGACTTTTCTTAAATAGCACAACATGTGTTTTTCTTCCCAATGTAGCACTTTTAGTCATTATTCAAGTAAATTTTCGTCATCACTAGACATTATTAAGTGTTATTTATGAAATAAAATAATTTAAGTGCTATTTAGAGAAATGACTTAAGTTTTAGTGCTATTTAGTACAAATATTTATTATTGTTATTATTATTATTATTATTATTTAAACTTTGGTTCACATCAAGAAGAGTGGTTTTATAATCTTTTCTTTGATGTAGACACTACTTCGTACGTCACAGGCCTTCAACCTTAGAATTAATTCCCGGACAGTGCAGCATTTGAAAAACCATTCCCATTCAGTGCTGCTTCCAAAAGTTCACATTAGATATTAGTTCTGGCCAAAGAGATGTAGACACGTGTCAAGCTAAAAAAATTGTTCAAATTGTACCCATGTACCACTAACGAATATTCTCCCCAATTTTTACTTAATTCCTCCCCCACTAAAAATTTTTTAATTACGAGTATGCATTATGATGTTTAATCAATTTTATTTTTAGTTTAATTTATTTGATTGTATGGATAAAATTTAAAAATAAAATTTATATAATAAAAATGTATACAAAAATTTATACTCTCTACCTATCACATCATACCTTTTTCCTTATTGGTCCTTTTCAGATAAACACCCCTTAGGCCCGTATTGATCCAAAAGTTAGGAAAATGCATAGCGCAAAAATGACGCAATATATATCGTACAACCGGTTATACGGTATTTCCTGGTTGTCCAGGCAGTTTTTGGAATATTTGTCTATTTTTTACTTTATTCAGTCAAAATTAGTAAATTTTGATCCCAAATTAAATAAAAATGATATATGATATTGATATAAAAATATTTTTATTATATTTATAATATAAAATATTTTCAAAATATTATTGTATCTAATAAATATAGAATGTATATACTACCTCCGTCCCCCTGTATTTGTCCATATTTGACTTTTGGAAATGTTCATCTAAGTACTTTGACTCATCAAATTCTCTCAATGTGTAAGCCTAAATATAGTCATGTGTGATCTTGTTTGATTTGTCTTAACATATAGATTATTAATATATAATTTTTATAATTTTTTAATATACAAATTACAAGATAAAATGAATTAAAGAAGTGCATTGGATGGTGTGTAAAAATGAAAGTGGACAAATACAGGGGGATGGAGGGAGTATTATTTAATTAAAGATCAAAGATTCTGAAAAAGTCAAAACTGAAAAAATACTTTGAGAGGAAGGTAGTAATATACAAGTATCAAATGATATTTCCAAAGTAAGCCCAAAGTCCATTTATAAATACAGTTAGTCCGCACATCTTCATCTTCTTAGAATCATTGATGTCTTACCTTCCTCGGATTAGAAGATCTACATGTAAAATATAGATATACCTACATATTTTTCATGAGTTCATAATTGTATAATCTTCGTTTTACATGGTCCATTACAGATAATATTTTTATGCATTAAAGCTCATTTATTGAGTATGAATCTAAGTACCACAAGAGATTTTGTCATCTTTTCTTGTGATATGCGTCTCTGTCCATCTCGGCCATCTCCTCCAAGGTGAGAAGACACAAAAATCTTAGGGTGTGTTTGGTGAGGAAACAAGATATGAATTTTGATATATCAGAATTCTTTTTGAGTGTTTGGTGAAGTAAAAAAAGATATCAAATTTGATATCTCTAGATATCATAAACTATTCAAATGGGGGATTTCGATATCTCCCGATTTTGGAAGATATCAATATTGGAGTTTAATATCTCTCTTAACCAATGGTCATTCTCAGTCACCGGCTACCATTGTCACCACCAACCATTCTCGTTGCCGGTCACCCTCGCATATCAGTAATTAAATCATAATTTTAAATCTCTCCTAACAACTTGTTTCAGATTTCAAAACTCATACCATTTTTTTCAGATTTCATAATCCATATCTTATCTTATCTCTAAAACTTACTAAACGCCTCTAACTCATAGCTTTGGTTACGCCTCAAGGTATATTAGTTTTTACAATATTACTGTAATTTATTGCATTTATTTACAGATGAAGTTAATTCAGAAATTAGGCGGAAATTTCTGTCACCCTAACTAACGTTGGATGATCGACCGTCCTTAAGTACGGTCCAGTAGGTGGATCGTTGGTTGCATGTAGGTGTGTAACTTCCTCTTAGTCCAGGAAAAGGAAATGGTCAACTGGGGTACATGGACAGTCGTTTGGTAAGTTTTACTCTCCCGTCTCAAAAAGATTTACACCTTTCAAAAAAATTGCGTCCCACGTACAGTCTCCTACCCATTTCTATTAAAAAACTATTTTTACCCCCTACTTTTTCAAACCCTACCTATCACATCATGCCTTTTTTCTTATAATCTACATATCATATCCCACTTTTACACATCAAATCAAGGTTATTTTTGGAAAGTCAACACAAAATTATCCCTCTCTTAATTTTCACTTTAGTCAAAATGTGTAAAACTTTTTAAGACGGAGGAAGTAACATATATGTATCGGCTTTGTCGGCGATAGTCAACATGCTTTGTTCTTCCTCCACAGGCGGACTTATCTCTTCCACTCCGGGCACAAAAGAATATGATATGAAAAATAATTCGGAAAGAAAATTTAAAATCATTTTATGACTTTGTTTTCCCGAAACTCGAGAAGCAAACATATCTTATATACAAGTACATGGCTACAATTCAATTCATATTAAAATTAATTTTGAAGCATTCCAACTCCCAAGTGTGACATTTAATTTTACCCTACAACCCTTTTTAATTTACAGACATCATAAATATTAAGAACCATGGAGAAACTCATCACGAGTGTCCTCTCGATTATAATCAAAGATGATTTTACACATATACAGATGATAATCATCTGCGGAGAGAGACAATTTATTAACGCAAATAATTATTGTCTATGTGTATATATAAAATCATCTGTGATCGTCATCGCGAAGATATCCATGTTGGGCTTTTAACATTTTTCAAATATAAAAATATTTTTCATATATGTGATGTCATTGATAATTCTAATGCCAAACTTGGGACCATACATGAGTAACCAAGCATAACTCATGGTAGAATAAATTTGAAATGTGAAGTAATGTGTAATAATAATAATGATTGGTCTATGGTGTCCCACGAGGTGATTGGGTTTGCTACATGTTTCATGTTTGTATCAAATCATTTTATCATATGCTTTGTTCTCTGTGTGGAAGAATAATTATTGAACTCATGAAACATGACAACGCTGCACGACCGCTCCCTAGTCACTTCCCTCCCGTGTGCGCGCGCAGTGTTTAACAATTAGAATCACACAGGTGATTATTTCTTTAATAATCTTTAAATAAAATGGCTTGAAGAAGTTTGGAATTTTACTTTGTTTTACGTAAGCAAATTTTTTTGGATTGGGAAGTATTTTCTAATTAGAAATTAAATATGGAAAAATTTCCATTATTAAAACCAATTCTAGAATTTACTTTTTACATTTTATTAGGATCAGATGAAATAAGATCATGTCAAATTAGATTTAATCAAATCAGATCTGATCACACTCAATCAGATCTATTCAGATCAAACCAAAACGTTGGAAGAATTAAA